CTGATGTTTAAGACTGTAATTGATAAACATTATAAGCAAAGATGGATAGTGGCTAACAGTGAACTCCAGGACGCACGTTTCGTCCTACTTAGGACTCGTCGGCTGGATATACTCGCATTCCGGAATTGATGTTCACTATGGACTCGAATCCAGTACCATTCGCTTCAAACGCCATCGCGTTATTCATTTATGTACTGAGTCCTGATAGTCAGTTGCTTGTGCAATGAGGTGAAGTTTAAATTCACTTGGTATTGTTTACTAGAATCTTCCCACTGATGTTTAGAACTACAATTGATCAGTCTCTTATTGGCATATGTACATACTATGCGTATTGCCTTGATATTGTCTTAATTCACAAGCATCATAAGCAGAAAAATCCAGATAAATGCGCATAATTAAAGATTTGAATCATTTTTATGTAAATTGACAAGATGATAATTAGTCATGGGAATTATAAATATCCAATTAAGTTGAACAAAAATCTAGGTCATGACAAATCAAGTCATGTGTAAAAATTACTGTTTTTTTTTATAAATGGAGTTATTTCAAGCAAATCAAAACAACTTTTCTATAATGTTCTCAACAAACACAGATAATATTTGTAATTTTAAAACAGAATAAGATCTCCGAAGTCATTTGAGTACAAAAATCAAATAATCATTTCCCTTTAAAAGAAGTTGAAATAAAGTGGGATCTAAAGGAGTGAACATTTTGAGTAGATTTATCTGTAAACAGTATCTTTAGTGGTCATATAACTTCTCGGTAAATAGAAGAACAATACATGTAATTAGAGAATAGTTTTAGTTAATCAGTGATGGAAATTCATTATTCTGATTACAGAAATTCCACCACTCTCTTGTTTCGTTAACTATTTTGGAATATCGAAAATCGAGATCAGTTAACAGTGGGTGATAATTACCATTCTATCATTATAATTTCCACTTGCGTGGAGGTGGTTCGTTAATGAAAGGTAAAAATTCAAAATATAAACTTACTAACGAGTGGATTCTTTTAGATTATTCAGTAAGGCAGTGGATATCGACATTAGGCATCTCACGTGAATTCGTTTGTAACTCAAAATGTCGTGCAAATATTGTCATCGTCTACGTCTATACATCGGGAAGAATTAATTAAATTGTCTGTCTAAATCTGCATTGACATTTTAGTCGTCAAAGATTGATATCTTTTACTGTGTATATAAATATGTATTAAGTAATGTAGATAAATCCGAAAAATATGAAGGCTTTGATCCAAAATATTATATTTATTTTTATATTTTATTTGAACACATAAATATTGGTACAAGAGAGCGCCAATATATATGCGCCACACAAAACAATGGGAATTCGAAGAGAAGTAGAAAGAGAAAAAAAACTAAGGAACGCAAAAGAAAAAGAGAGTAATGACGAAGAGGTACAATCAGAAGAAATCTTTCAGGTAAGGGAGACACAACCACTTTTTATGAAGAAAGTAAAAGAAGGTTACAGCAGGATCGCCACTGGCTTCTATTCTGAGCCATATCTGATAACGTCTCTAGCCACAAATGATGAACTCTTTATGTCTATGGAAATTACTTTGATCCAAAATCTTCCGAAAGATTGGTTTTTCGCTACTTTAACAACATGACTTTGGAAAAAGTGTTTTTTGCCAACCAGATTATGATGACTAAGTTATCTCAGACCTTACTACAATATACCTGACTACCTTACTTCTACTTTCCTTCTGAACGCTTGATTTCCCTATTTAAAAGTTACTTATTATTACAACTAATACTTTGATCACAAAGAAAATATTTCGAACTTCAGCAGGATTGTTGGTTTATTTGACGTTTGGTGTTATAGAAACAATCAATATGATGATGTTTCCGGTCATCTTGGAAATATAAATTTTTTATCTTTTTGATAAATCCTCTAATTGAACGCTAGGTTCTGTTTTCTAAGCTATTCTAGTAAAACTCCCCAGGTTAATCTACACGGCTAGTTGAACACGAGAGAAAAGGCGTGAAGTATGGAAGAAAGGCTTTACTCCAAGTTTTATTTATGTACAGAAAATTTAGGGTGTTTATAGCATTTTAAGTGGCCTTGGACTTCTGGAACGCTACTAAACATAGTAGCAGTATAGGCAATTATCCGAACAGAAACTCGACATGCGACTTTTTAATTTCTAGATGTTTCTGGAAGAGCTATTCTTTCTCACCGTTTTCAGAGCTCTTTTTGGCTTTTTCTGGGTCTCCCCACCATTTATCTATAAGTATACGGACGTTATTGAATGGAAAATAATAGTTAGTCAATAAATAGATCGTTTCGCCAATAATTATCAGCTTTCAAAAAGTCCGAGAAATAAGTTCGAATTTGCTAAGACGTAACTCAGACCATATCTATATACATAGCAACTGAAAGTCAATAATATTATTCTCACCCTGATAATCACATTGTGGTGTGGGCTACTTATACTCACATAAGTAGTATATAACGGTGGTCAGGCATAGAATGTATTTCAGTAGAAGATCGATAAGGAAAGAACGGAAACCGTAAACAATTGGTATGGAAATGCATGGACAATGAAATCTGAGACAATGGACTGATTTTTGCAAAATGAACAGTCAAGTTTCAGACGATGGATTGATATTTTACAAATTAACTATTTCATATATATGGTTCTCAGATTTTGGTGATTTGCTCTGTAACTTCGTGCCAAATACATTCGATTGTCCCCACTCGTGTTCTTGTTCACTACAAAATCACTTAATAGTTACATAGTACACGGATACTATCATCTCAGTATTGGGTATTATAATTTTCCAAGTTTAATACCTTTTAGTGCAAGGTTAATCTGTTAATCACTTATAAATAATAAAGATTTTAACTTTTAGTAAATATATCACTTGTAACTACTTCTATCTTAAACTGTTTGTTATACTTACTAGGTCGACAAACCTACAATTACATTGTCTTCAGCTTTAACCAATAACATTTTAGTTAACTCAATAAGCGTAGGAGTGAACATTTCAATTTTCCAGGTCATAAATAACATTTTCGTAATAAATAAACTCATTCATGTTACAGTTATTACTCCTAATAGACAAAAGTAGGCTTCAAACGTAAAGCGAGATCATCAACAACCATGAGCACTGTATTAATTATTTGTTTATTTTACATATTATTATTATTTTTGCGTTTAACACTTGGCTGTTTATTAAATTATTTATAACGTAAGAACTCTTGAAGAATATAATAAGATCATCAGAGCTATTATTGTCTACGTATTCACTGATCTATTATTAAGATAAAGTAAACAGAAATTTCGAAAATCCCAGTAAGATTTGGTACCGTTAACCCTGAAATGAAATTTATTCTTAATATCCTTTGAAAATAGATTGAATTAACATGACCTAAGAAAGTTTCAATATATTCATATAAAACATGAAATTAGGAAATGATAAAATATGAAGAAAAAATACGGGAAATTGATTTAATTGTTGAATTCGTGAGTCAATTGAAGCTATATCACCATGGAAAACCTGGAAGCACTGGACAGCCGTTTCGTCCTAGTATGGGAATCCTCAGTGGAACTCATCCACGATTCCGTCTCGCGAGATTCGAACCCACGTCTTATCAGTCTCGCGCTCAAGCGTTCAACCACTAGAACACTAAGCCGTCTATACTCTAAGACGAAACGGCCGTCCAGTGCTTTCAGGTTTTCCATGATGGTCTAGCTTCAATTGACTCATGAATTCAACAATTAAATGATTGTTTAATATTTTAAGGCAGTTTATCACTGAATATTTGAGAAGTCCTGTAATAACATATAAGGATAAGGTTATTTCAAAAAAAGAAAACAATGATAATAAAAATCATAAAATATGTGAATCTTCTTTTTCATGAAAAGAAACATAATAACGTCTACTTAACCAACAGAACTTAAGAACTTTCAACCAACGCATAAAAGAAGACAGCGGAACTAAAAGAACATACTTTCTAAGAGTATTTAAATTATTATATAAATTTAACAAACAACTATGTTGTTTTAAGAGATATTCATTAAAATAATTTAATATATTTGATTTTGGGTTGGAAATTGATATGATGGAAAGAAAAGTCAATTTTAGATTGATTTACTCATTATGAGTTTTGTTCAAGGTTACTTCCGTCATGACTCAATGTAATGACTACTCAATGTAGTATTTGTTCTCTTTTCTCGTATGATATTTTATTCTGTATAATATGCGATATTCTTGTAGTCCATTGACATGAACTATGCTCAGTATGTGATTTGTTATAACTCTAAGTATTTTTCATATATGTGATTTCATCATAATTATTATTCAAAATGGGTGTACAATCAATATATAAATGAGTGTATTTTCGACTAAGGTCATCGTCGTCGTGTTTTGTGGTCAATATATCTTCACTCATACCAGTCTTTGTGTTCTTACTTTCGCGTAGTGGGAATTACAGAGGTCCCTCATTCCGCGTACAAGTGATCAGCGCATTTTCCGACACAACAATTGCGACGATCGAACACAACAGAAATTTAAACACTGATGAGGACTTCATAAATGTTTTTTCTCAAGTTGTGGTGCTCGTTAATCGCAGTAAGAGATAACGGATTGACCGAATTTGTAATAACTAACTTACGATGGAATATATCCGAGTTCTGAATTTAGTTCTATAGGACAGTACTGTTAAAGAATTTACAGAATAACACAGTTTCGATATTTAAAACTTGAAAGTTCTAGATATTCATAGGGATTGGATTAGACAAAAATTAGATACAATTTATTATTACAAATTCTATTTATTTTAGAATGAAGAAGACATTTGTTTTTGGAGACATTATGGAGAAGTTCAGTAACCAAGGTTACAATTTTCATTCACAGTAATTTATTTGTATCAGCATCATTTTATGAATTCAAGATAAAATAAAAAGCCCACTTCATTCTTAAAAATTCAGTCAACTATCCGTCATCTAATTTTCTTTAAAAGGTAAAACAAACAAAATTGAAAACGCACAAACAACTTGTATTTTTGCACAAAATAATATTCTGTAAAAAAATTTACAAAATTAAAAAGGTATTTACAAATGATGGAAAATTGTTTGTATATGTTTATCTTTTATTCTCTGTTCCTGTGGCTTGAATGATAGAAATAAATCACGAGACAAATATAGACGATGTATCACATATGGTAATTAACTGGACTTGAAAAGCCAACACTAATAACGATTGTGATTTATAAAGCCATTGTAAGTAGTTACAGCATTTATTTGCCATTACCCATTTGATCTAGTTCGATAACATAAATATTTCTCAAATAACCACTGTATTTTTGTACATTATCAACTGTAAACACTTTGTTTGGTATATGCACAACTATTCCAATTACATTGTCTAAATGACAATTTACTAACTTTTGTGCATTGAGGCCCGATCCCTGAAGAGAAAGCAAGTTTTGCATAAATGAGTATAAGATTTTGAGAGAATTTTAATAGACTACTTAATTGAAAAATTTCATAAAAAAAAATGCTTTTACTACAAACAAATTAAAAATTAAGCTGAAGACAATTACTAGCATGGTATTATACACTTTAGCACCACACACTCTTATCTGAGTATCTGTTAGTTTCTTTATATTAGATAATATAGGGACATTCCTTTTAATGAACAAAAAGTACAGGTCGATTTGTCAGACCATTATTAGTGCTAATTGATAAAGTCATATATAATCATTATATTACGTGAAAAGCATCTATTTAGGTACTTGGAAAGATTTCTATCAATAAAAATCATTGAGCCACATAAAATTACAGAAGATAGTGATGAACAATAAGCCAACAAGTAAGTCCTATAGATGCAATTTTAAAAATTTTCGAGTAATTTGTGAATTAACTATGAAGTATTACAGCACTAGAGTTTACAACATAAAAACTCATGTGACTCTAATTTATAAGAAGCCAGTAGTATGATTCTATTCTTCATGGTACCATAGCCCCAAATGCCCTGGTACGGCGGAGAGTGGGGAGAGTCCGCTCTCCTTCTCGAAATGCTCTCACATGACCACGCGTATATAGCCTCTGCCAGGTAAGTCCTACTCACTGCCTTCTCATAGCATCACTGTTGTTTACGAAATTGAGAGGACGAAAAGCGAATTTCCGGCGCTTTAACCTGTTTGGTGGACACGGACAGTCCACCTAGGGGGGTTGGAAAACCCTCATTTCAAACCAATGGTGCACATGGGCTTCAGGATTCTGGGGGAACAAATGGCGTATGAACCAATCGTTGGTCACCGGCTAACATGGGACTGCATCTCCTTACGTTGCTCCACTGCTTTGTGGATCAGACCTTTGGGTCAGAGGCTTCGGGTGTTGTCCCCTAAAAAAACCACCTGCTTCGGTTTGGGCACCCGAGCAGTATCATAGCCCTCATACATGTCAAATGAGATTTGTGTGGCGCATATGTGTTTGGTGCCTCCGTGTACAAATATCTATGTGTTAAAATACAAATAAATAAAAATGGTACCATCAATAGTATTACTTATGGCTGAGACATAATTACTATTTCTGTAAAATTATTTATTTATTTATCTTCTATAATCTTTAAAAAAAATATCCCTCACTAATAATATTACAAAGGAAAGTGTAGTCAGTCAGTCAGTCAGTAACAACGTAGAACTTCGTACGTACGTACAACAGTTCAAGTTGCCATACCACATTAGCACAGAGGTACAGTTGTTGATTCAAATCCCGTAGTGATAGAGGCGGTAAGAGTATAAGCAGTAATCGGAAAGATAACGGGTGATGTTATTTAAAGAGTATAATCCAGTGAAATAAATTTGGAAAGAAAATAAGGGACATGAAGAATTCAGAAGATTAGAATTTGGAAAAACACAAAGAGTAGATGGACCTGCGCCATTGCCAACGATTTTGAGCCATGTCATTTAGGGTCTCTAACCATCGGTTGCTATCATCTCGCGGTCCCCAACCAGGTAGTCTACACCTACCAACATGACTCAGTCCACTTGTCAGTGACTTCATGGACTTGTGCCATATTTTGGTTTGGCCGTCCCTACCTTTCTTCCAACCTACTCCTATACCACTGAACATCGCACGTCGAGGCAGTCGGCCGTTGGGCATACGTAACACGTGTCCCAACCATCTCAACTGATGAAGTTTCACTACTTCATCAATTGATTTGCCATCCTTACCTAGTACCCGTTTCCTAACAACTGCATTACTTACTCGATGGTCCCACGATATACGAGCAATATTTCGAAGACACCTATGATCAAATACTAGTAACCTACGAATATCTTCTACTCTTACCGGCCATGTTTCACTGCCATAAAGTAGGACGAAACGAACTGCTGCGCAGTAAACACGTCCTTTGTTTGGTAGATGGATATCTCGCCTACTCTATAAATGACGCAGGTTGGGAGATTAGCTGAGACTTCGTCACACACCAGACCATAAGGGCTGATGAGACTTCCAAGATAAGTGAAGCGGTCGGCACTCCCAACTACTTCAATCCCAATCATTAGTTCGGGTGTCGATGCAACCCAATCCTGAAGCAACATTTTGCATTCGAGGAAGGGAATCACATCCCGAACATGCTTGCATTGTTGCTTAGAGTGATCAGAAGACTCTGCATTTTGTCAGCGTCTTCACCAAATAGAACTATGTCATCAGCATATTCTAAGTCAACAAGTGAATCTCCCGGCAGAAGTTCAACCCCTGGAAATTTAGATGAGGAGAGTGTTATCTCCAAAAGCACGTCGACGACAAAGTTAAACAAGAATGGGGAGAGTGGACAGCCCTGACGAACACTACTTGAGGTAATCAGTTTTGATGACAGTTCTCCATAAGCTCTCACTCGAATAGAGAGCCTTTGTAAGGTTAATGTACTTCTTTGGTACTCCTTTCAGTGACAAACACTGCCACAGAACCTCACGATCAACAGAGTCGAATGCCGCCTTAAGGTCGAGAAATACTACAATTGTGGGGCGTCTGAATGTGTGTCTGTGTTCTAGAACCTGACGTAGTGTGAATATCTGATCTATACAACCACGTCCAGCTCGAAAACCAGCCTGATTTTTTCTAGTCTGCTCTTCACGAGCTTTAGCTAGGCATCGAAGTATTATTGAAGCTAATATTTTAGACACTATGTTTGTCAAACTGATTCCTCTGTGATTGTCACAAGAGGACGTTTGTACTTTCTTATAGACTGGCACAATCAGTGATTGAGACCAGTCAGATGGGATTACGTCCAGTTCCCAAATTCTACCTAAGACCTCAGTTAATCTCATTGCTAATACTGGACCACCATCCTTAAAAATCTCAGGAGTAAACCTGTCAGGGCCTGCTGCTCTCCCTCGTTTCAGATTTCCTATGGCTTTTTCAATTTCGTAAAGGGACGGAGGACCTACATTAACTTGCCATTCAAGGAAAGTGTAGAGACCTTCATGGGATATCCCACTCAGAAATTGTAAGACTTGACCAATAATAAACAAGGGGAAAGCATTGAATTTAATAATATTTGGAATTTAGTTAATTCGAAGACCGTAGCTGCTACCTTGACGCGGTGGTCGGGCTTGCCTATCGTGATGACCCAACCGAGCTATATTGCCTGGAACATATGTTCCCGTAGGTTCTACCATGCCAGACAGGTCGATTGGAGAACGGTAAGACTAAAAGCAGCAACTCAAGGTCTGAGGGCGAAGTCGTACTGCTGACTGTAGAGGGGTGTGACGGCAGTGAGGTGTTTCCCTTGGACAACCAGCATCTGCAGCGATGCTTCCTTCTTATAAGGAAGGTCGCTCTTAGAAAAGATCGACCCTGAAAATGTCACACCTCACCTTACCTTACGGATCTTCGTCTCCGGTGGTAAGGTCTTTTGAAGAACGGAGCTAACACGTTAAAAACCTCCCACAAAAAGGCCGTGCGCAACCGGCCTCAAGCAGTTGTCCCCTGAGCTCTGCGGTCACGCTCCTAGGCCATTAAGGCCGACATTAATCCGATTTCCTTTTCAGGTTCCTCAAGTAATACCCTTCCACGGAGTGGGCAGCCAGGAAGTGATATCAGCCCTCATACCCGTAACAGCACACGAGACCAGGTTGGTCACATTCAAATCCTTCCTACACCTCTTAATACCACTCTTATCTCCCCGACTAACCCTTCTCACGTCTTTTTTTCACCTCGCACCGCTAGGGCAAACGATTTGAGTACGCGGAACGTTATTCCTGGTCTCCTGAAACCACGCTCTAAAATACATGTAGGAGCTTTTAACGTACGAACACTGTGCCGAATAGGACAACAGGCTTCCTTAGCTAAGACATTAGAAACGCGCATACAGGATCAGAGTAGAGTCATTCATTTGACATCACCATGTCAAAACAAAGAACCAACTCGATTCACACTTCGTGTATCTGGAAGCCCCGATGCTGCTTCTCCTGGACTCGCCGGCGTAGGTATAGCATTGAGTCCTAGGGCAGAACTAGCTCTCTTAGAGTGGATCCCAGTAGACAGTCGTTTGTGCGCTGTCCGACTGAACGGAACAGTAAGAATCCGGAAAGATAGGGACACTCGTCGTTCTCTCTTCGTCGTCCCACTGACTGCAGCTCAGATGATGTAAAAGATGAGTTTTACAGAAAGCTTTCGGACCTTCTCCGAAAAGCTAGGCGCTCGGATGTAGTAATAGTGGCCGGTGACTTTAATGCTCAAGTAGGTAAACTAAGCGAAAGGGAAAGACACCTAGGTGGATCTTATGGTGTCGTGGCTCAAAGAACAGATAATGGCGACCGTCTGTTGCAGCTATGCTCAGATAACCGCCTGTTCCTTGCAAATACTAACTTTAAGCATAAGGAAAAACATCTTTTAACATGGCGACCCCCTAATTCGTCCCAACGTTGGACCCAAATAGATCACATCGCTATCAGCCACCGATGGAGGGGCTCGATAGAAGACTGTCGCTCATTCTGGAGCACATGCCTAGATTCAGATCATGCTCTAGTGCGAGCGCGTATTTGCTTGCGTCTTACTGGACGTAGGAAAGACGCTGCAAGGAAACCTCTTAGGGCCCTACTTAATGATAGTCAAGCTAAGAGTATATTTCAGGAACAACTAGGAAAACAGTTAGGCAGCCATGTATGTGATGCCCACCCCGATGCAGCATGGAATGATATCCGAAAAGCTGTGGAAACAGCAGTGATATCTGCTAGTAAGGTAAACCAGAAGGTTAGGGAGCAACACTGGATCTCAGCAGCATCTATCGCACTGATAGATGCTCGGAAACTCATTCCACCTGGCTCTGAACATAATGAAGAGCGGAGTCAGCTTAAGCGCAAGCTGACAAGAAGTCTACGCAATGATCGCGAACAGTGGTGGGTAGCGAAAGCAAGAGAGATGGAAAAGGCAGCGGCAATAGGTAATAGCAGACAATTGTTCAGACTCGTTAAGGAAACCGGAATTAGGAACCCGACCGTTAGCGAAACAATCTCAGAGAAAGATGGACATATTATTCATTCTCAATCCAGGAGATTGGATCGATGGGCAGAACACTTTAGGGATCAGTTCAACTGGCCTTCAGCCACACTTCGGTTTCCCACGATCTCCAGTCAACCTGAATGGCAAGTTAATGTAGGTCCTCCGTCCCTTTACGAAGTTGAAAAAGCCATAGGAAATCTGAAACGAGGGAGAGCAGCAGGCCCTGACAGGTTTACTCCTGAGATTTTTAAGGATGGTGGTCCAGTATTAGCAATGAGATTAACTGAGGTCTTAGGTAGAATTTGGGAACTGGACGTAATCCCATCTGACTGGTCTCAATCACTGATTGTGCCAGTCTATAAGAAAGGACAAAAGTCCTCTTGTGACAATCACAGAGGAATCAGTTTGACTAATATAGTGTCTAAAATATTAGCTTCAATAATACTTCGACGCCTAACTAAAGCTCGTGAAGAGCAGACTAGAGAAAACCAGGCTGGTTTTCGACCTGGACGTGGTTGTATAGATCAGATATTCACACTACGTCAGGTTCTAGAACACAGACACACATTCAGACGCCCCACAATGGTAGTATTTCTCGACCTTAAGGCGGCATTCGACTCTGTTGATCGTGAGGTTCTATGGCAGTGTTTGTCACTGAAAGGAGTACCAAAGAAGTACATTAACCTTATAAAGGCTCTCTACTCGACGAGTGAGAGCTTATGGCGAACTGTCATCAGAATTGATTACCTCAAGTGGTGTTCGTCAGGGCTGTCCACTCTCCCCATTCTTGTTCAACTTTGTGGTCGACGTACTTTTAGAGATAACACTCTCCTCATCTAAATTTCCAGGGGTTGAACTTCTACCGGGAGGTTCACTTGTTGACTTAGAATATGCTGATGACATAGTTTTATTTGGTGAAGACGCTGACAAAATGCAGAGTCTTCTGACCACTCTAAGCAACAATGCAAGCATGTTCGGGATGCGATTCTCTCCCTCGAAATGCAAAATGTTGCTTCAGGATTGGGTTACATCGACACCCGAACTAGTGATAGGGAGTGAAGTAGTTGAGTGTGTCGACCGCTTCACTTATCTTGGAAGTCTCATCAGCCCTTGTGGTCTGGTGTGTGACGAAATCTCAGCTAATCTCCCAACTTGCGTCATTTATGGCGTAGGCGAGATATCCGTCTATCAACCAAAGGACGTGTTTACTGCGCAGCAGTTCGTTCCGTCCTACTTTATGGCAGTGAAACATGGCCGGTAAGAGTAGAGGATATTCGTAGGTTACTAGTATTTGATCATAGGTGTCTTCGAAATATTGCTCGTATATCATGGGACCATCGAGTAAGTAACAGTTGTTAGGAAACGGGTACTAGGTAAGGATGGCAAATCAATTGATGAAGTAGTGAAACTTCATCAGTTGAGATGGCTGGGACACGTGTTACGTATGCCCAACGACCGACTGCCTCGACGTGCTATGTTCAGTGGTATAGGAGTAGGTTGGAAGAAAGCTAGGGGCGGCCAAACCAAAACATGGCACAAGTCCATGAAGTCACTGACAAGTGACTGAGTCATGTTGGTAGGTGTAGACTACCTGGTTGGGGACCGCGAGATGATAGCAACCGATGGTTAGAGACCCTGAATGACATGGCTCAAAATCGTTTGCAATGGCGCAGGTGCATCCACTCTCTGTGTTCTCCCAAATTCTAATCTTCTGAATTCTTCATGTCCCTTTTTTTCTTTCCAAATTTATTTCACTGGATTATACTCTTTAAATAACATCTCCAAACCCTAATCTTCCCGATTACTGCTTATACTCTTACCCCTCTACCACTACGGGATTTGAATCGACAACTGCATCTCTGTGCTAATGTGGTGTGGCAACTCGAACTGATGTACGTACGTACGAAGTTCTACGTTGTTACTGACTGACTGGATTCTAATATTCAGTGATACAATAAATTTGGAATTTTATTACTCTGATAACAATAATTAATGGTTAAAGAGAAACATTTCTTCGATACAAAGATTACACCACAACTGAATTAGTTTCCTCTCAAATTACTTTAGCGAATTAGAACTTTAAAAGAAACTTCTTAATTTGAAGTTATTTTCCGAAATTCAGACATTTTTGAAAAGCATACTATCCAATGATTATTATTATAAGATTATAAGATTACATCACCTGGTGAAAAAAACACGTGTTATATATAGAGGAAATTCAATGAACTTGTTTTGTACACTTTGAGCTTTACATTTTAGGATGGACACCCTAATCTCCATTTAAAAAATACAGGTTTGATGATTAAAAGCGATTTTATCAACGATGATTTGCACATTAACATAGTATCGTAGACCAATATTTGATGTTAGTGTTAGGATGTGCAGAAAAACATACCAATAATTATCATGTTAAGTCTAATGGTGGCCTCGGACTTTAAATGTACAATTCCCTATTGGTCGATATTTGTTTCACTTGTTAAACATTGTACAAAATGTTGTTTTCTATTTCATGGTACGATGTGGTTTGTTTGGTTGGTATATAAACAAGTATGTCTGAAATACAATGATTCATATCTCAGAGGCTAAGACTTGTGTTCTGGACTCAACTGGCTGGGCTAGACAGGGAAGCGGGACCAATCGAGACTCTAGGTCGTTCGTACGTGTTTTCTGTGTCACATTAATCTGATCGATAAAACGCTGCTATCAAAATCTGCAGTCTCACACGTTACAGCAGTTAGAATCTTTAAGAGACAATGTTCCCGGTTATGAACAGAGTTAACACTAAGATGAAACAGTTACGATTAAATAAGATGTCAACAGTGCAAGTGTAATTTTAAAATTCTACTCGTATGGTTTCTTATGGTAACAAATCAGAACTGATTTTTAATTAACTTGACTATATCTCACTTGAATCAATTGAACTCGTGACCTGATGTGACTATGTGAATCAATGGGCTGAAATGATAAGCGATGTAGGTTTTAAACTTTAAGAAAGATATTGTCTTTCTTGAGGTTGATATATATATCTGTGTGACAAGGATCGTCAGCAATGCTTGTCGATTACTCAATATTAATTAACTATTTACTATTAGCTGACATCTGTATAAATTATTAGAAGCAAATAAGATATATCAATAGGATACCTTCAACAAATTTGATTGTGTTACATTGAGTAGTTTGCAAAGTCTCCAAGAGGCCATCTGAAAGTAAAGTTTAACATAAAAAGTAAGTATATAAAGGGGAACGATGATGATAATAATAAATGGAAGCATAAGATGAAAATTTCACACAATCAAATATACAAAATAATGCAGCAGTAAAAAATCAACACCGATTTACTGTATAATAGAAAGTTGTTATAACTTCATAAATCTCATTAGTCAGTTAGTCATAAGCAAAGTAGAACCTAGTACATATGTTTATCGATCTAAATCTCCACACTATGTCAGTACAGTAAGACACAACTATCAAGACAAATTCGGAGTAGTAAAAATAGTAACAAAATCAATGGTAGTAAAAAAGAATAGGCATAAATATGGTTCAATAAGGAAGAGTGATCTTGCAAAATAAGGATTATATTCATCATTAGAAACATAATTTTGAAACTCGTGATTTAAGGGGGTACAAAGACTGAGCGCATATGAGCTACGATGATTGATTCCGAGCTATTTCATCCAATATATTCAACCACTGATTAACGGTAAAAGTGTGAGCCATAATCAAGTAAATCTGTACCTGCCAACACGGCTTAATCTAACAATACGACTTAAACAGAATGCCTAATAAATTGAAAGGAACAATGTATTATATCTATAATTTTTAAGTCAATGTCTTAAAATGTACAGATACCTATAAATATAACTTGATATATATATATATATATATATATATCCAAAACATAGTTCTTAATTACGAGATGAAACGGGTAACTGTCAATGAATATAAGTAATATTACTAGGCGTTCCAATTTTTCAGTATTTTTACTACAACTACTACTGATACCACCAATACTACTACTGCATCAATAAAGATATTATTAGTAACTTAGGAAACTACTCATTTCCCGCAAATAAAATACAGACCGACTTCCGTGTTACTTTCAGAGAAAAGACGTTGACTAAAAATGAGGAGAAAATTAAGATAAAGAAAACCATCAGTATTATTCTAAATTTGACAGTTCTACAGACAGATGATAATTATAAAAATGAAATAGAGCCATTTAAATTCACAAAACCTAATTTTATGTTTGGATGCCGACTAATTTTTGTATCTCGTGAAATAGCTAATTGACATAGAGAAAAGATCATTTCAGGAAATCTATAAATGTCGACTCCATTAATTTAATTAATTATTTAGATCATATACAAAATAAAAATAAAACTGCAAAGAATAACCAAGAAGTGAATAAAGTATTCAACTTTTAGTCACTGGATCTCAAGTTTTAATCTATTTTGTTTTGAGTAATTGGACAGTTAGCACATTTCAGCTAAAAGTCAACTACATAACTATATATATTTTGTCACAGGTCTTTCTTAAATGAAATTCGTGTTTCAACATTTATTAATTTTACTTATTGTTCGAACTGTTGTTTATGTACCCGGAAACTATCAAGCATCGACCATATCTTCGGGCTGAGTACATGAATCTGTACTTAGTTACAGTATTACACTAATAAGCTAAGAAAAAAACAACTAGTGATTACTTACATTTAGTGTCAATTCTACAGACGATTTATGTCTTTTCAATTTATTAACAGTGGACTGATCGTTGTCAAAATTAATTAAAACTTGTACTTCTGTTTCCAATCGTTCAAGAGGATTTGATAAAAGCGCTAAACATCGGACACATTTCAAATTTTCTTGTTTAGAAAAATATTTGACTTTATTATCAACACCAGAATATATTTCAAAATCAGCGCATGCACAGTAAGGACAAATAGACCAAACATGTGATCGACTTGTATCTACATGGATCAATGTACCTGCATAATTTATCAACATATTATAATGATAATGAAAATATGATAATAAAAACTGGAAAAAATTCACGTAGGAGGCAATGAAACTTTAAGATTAGAAATCTTCATGAATAATAAATGATAATTATTAATCGGCATTGATTCTTGTTCTAATCGATAACAGATATGTGTAGAGAATGGAAAAGGGCAAACTAAAACAGTATCACAACGGTTAAGTTCTTACTGAAAAAACAACTATTATCATTACTATCATAACAAACTACTGTAACCATAATATTAGAATTGAATTGTCTATTAGAAGCTTAGGAATACATAAGCAAATGGTAATTCTGTAAACAAATAGAAGAATAAGAAAGTATCGATTAGAAAACACGCTGTAGTTTAGCACAATTTATCATAAGGCAAATATTGAACGGCGGCCTGCTTCAATATCTGGGCTACCTGTTTCTGCCATCTAATTATTTCAACAAGTTATGTTTTTTTCATTTTGTTTTAACGTCTCATTATGTCCATTAGTCGCATAACCTATACAGGCGTGTTTATGAAAAGCATACGACCTTTCGCTGCACAAGTTACAAAAAAGTACAACAAAAGACATCATGGTGGTTGGGAATATGCGTTAAAGGGAATGAACATTAATCGTATGTCGATTCCCGAGCTGTTAAATTCTAACTGCCAATCACTAGTTAACAACGTGGACTATCTTCAATTCCTACTAAGTCAAAATATGTATCATAATTGTGGTGTCATCATAATTCAAGAATATTGGTTAAGTGATTCACAGGACGACTGCCTAGTATCACTACTTGATTTCAAAATTTATTGTCAGGATCGATCAAACAATAAAAAGAGGTGTGGCGGCGATGTAGCTACATTTGTAAACGTGAACTGGTGTCGATCTGCGTTTGCGTGTTTGAAGTTTTCAAATGGCTTTATCGACTAACTCTAAGATGCAGTCCAAACATCTGAATAAATACAAATATGTTTATGTTACCAGACTGAACATCATCTGCGCTATCTGTTTTCGCTGATGAATTCACTGAGTTCGCTATTACTGCCTTCAGTGATTCACTCCCAGTCGTATGTGGTGATTTCAATTCATATGGCTGTAGCTTCCTTACGTCACTAGGTCACCAAAATGTAGTTAATTTTCCTACTCGATTGGATGCTCATTTAGACTTCGTTCTCATTAATGATGTGGGTGACTCGTAAACGTGCTCCATTGTCTAGCTCGGATCACTGTATAATTCATGTTCTACATAAAGCATATGGAAAGCATGGGAAGAGTACACTCTTACATCAAACCAAGAAAGTCAAATATAAGAATTACTCAGAAGAAAATATCCGAAATCTGAAAAACATGTTTCATACGACTAACCGGGAATTATTTACAGATAAGTCACTGGGAATCACTACTGATGTTATCACTTGTTACCTTAAATTCTGTTTTGATATTTGCTGTCCCACTGAAACCACTTTTGTAAGTTTTGATCGACTTATATCTTCACAACTAAAACAACTACGTAGGGTGAAAGAAAGAATGTACGAGGAGAAAAACTCTAGTGAAGTTCGTAAGCTAAATGACCTAGTAAACCTAGAGAACTTTATGTTTACTCAAAAACTCTTGTCCTGCAAAAACTCTTCAAGTATGTGGAAACTCTTTAAAGAACTTACAGGTGACAAACACATTAGGAGCGATAACCAGCTGAATGTCTGTGACTTAACTAAGTCCTTTGTACGTCAGTAATCTGATGTAATGCTCCCTTCATCCACAGGTTTAAAGAATGGCTGTGTTCATAGTTTCACTGAAACTGATGTCCGAAGATGTCTCCAGTTACTTAATTCATCCCGACGATTAGGACCTGATGGTATCCCAAACCTCATTTTTAAAAAGTGTGCTGAAGTCCTATGTTATTCATTCACGACTATCTTTAACAGATCCTTCTCGTCTAATCTCATACCGAAAATGTGGAGAAAGATGAAGATAATCCCTGTACCCAAGAAAGTATCTGGTGATAAGAATGTGAAATTTAGACCTATTGCAATAACTTCACCCTTCCTCAAAACGATGGAGAAACTATTGATACTTCCACTTCAGCCTGCGATAAAAGAGCATATTGATCCGTACCAGTTTGCTCACAGATGCAAAAGAAGCACCTTAGATGTCATTACTGTTCTGCATCACAACATAGTGTTCAACTTAGAAAAGGGTAAGAAGTATGTTTGATGCGCTTTTCTGGACAATACTTCAGCTTTTGATTCTATGCCAAGACAACGTTTACCTAACAAGTTATTCAGCGTCAACACTGACAGCTGCATAACCAACTGGCAATGTTTCTACCTCTCTGGAAGGGAACAGTACACTGTGTTTGGAGGGAAGTGTTCAGAGTCTCTAATGTCTCATGAAGGTGTACCACAAAGAGCTGTTCTTTCTCCTCTTCTTTCCTCTTTTTTTCTGCATGATCTGCCATATTCCTCAGTAAACACTTGTGAAAAATGAGGATGATCTCACTGTATGTATGCCTATCTCTTCCTCTTTACATCCCATAGAAATGGATGAGTTTTTGTCTTGTCTTGATTGTTGATCTGTTGGTAATGGTCTTATACTTAATCCGTTTAAATGTCTATGTATGTTCATTGAAACGAAAGTATATGAAGATGGTAATATAACATCCATAAACATTGAAACGACTTGACTCTAAAATGTATCGAATATCAGGATATTAGTAATTTCTTTTTAATATGTACAAAATTTAATTTTCAAGAATCAGTATGCCTATATACCTAAGAACATGGATAAAGATAAAGAATCTTAGTTAGTGAAGCATATAATTAAATAAGCCATAGTGTAAGACACTGACAGCCCGAAGATGCGATTTAACGTATGATTTTAGAAGATCTCATATACTATATTCCGTAAGGTTGAATATTGAAGTCTACCTATATACGGGGCAGAGAAATGGGAGGAAACTTGGCGAAACTAAGTTAGACAATCAAAGAGAAAAGGAAGTAGTTAGTAAAAATAAGAATGATGGAGGTGTGTATGTAAAGTGAATGAGATTTTCTCAAATTGATCCTGTTTGGAAGTAAGGGGAAGTTAGAAAAATCGACCACTAATTCTTTGCGTATATTGACAATTACATGAAATTTAAAAAAAGAACAGGGTTAAGAGCAAAAAGGAAACAAAAATATTCCTACCTGAAAAACTAACAATTTGATGAACACGTAACTTATTCACATCTTCAAGTGACTGTAATAAAATATAGTTGGAACAAATCTGTTTGAAGAGAGAATTTTTTAAAGCATACATCGATGAAGAATGTTGAGAGTAATTCTCAGTCTTAAGTGACGTAAAACGATCTAGAAGAATGAAACCTAGATGAAAAAGAGAATAATAAAATTATCATAGTTTATAGATTTAAGTTCCATAAATAAAAATAAAAATAAAATTACTCGTATTAAGTAATCTAAGGGGTTCCTACATGTTTCCTTTTATATCATTTAAAATGTTGACAATGTTTGTTTCTAGTAAAGTATACGACGACTTTTTCTGAAAATATCACCATCAGAACCATTCAGATCATTTGCCTTCCGATGATGACATTATCTTTCGGATTGTAATGCTCTACATTTAACCAAGGCGAACTGAGCAAAAGTTTGATTAAACATTATCATTAAAAAATGTGATATTAAAGTCCGGAAGAATATTTCAATCATTTAAATGTGTAGTTAATTTCCATCTTATAAAGTAACAGGGAATTATTTTAGTAAACGAAAGGCAACGTCGTAAGACGATTTTTAATTCTCATACCGAACAAAATCTATATTTGTAACAATTGATGTATATATGTAAACAAGTTTATTACATAAGAACGTGTAAGTTGGATACGATAAACAGGGATTTATTTAGACATTGTAGGACTTTCACTGCATGGACATTTGGTGGTCTTTGGACGATTCTATGTTTATTTTCTTTTATACTACATGCATGTATGACACGCCTATTTTAATAAATGAGGATTAGTCAGTTGTTTATACAGTCTGATAGTTTTTACCAAGATTAGAGTGGTGGCTATACACATCTGAACAAGTTGTTTGATCATACTCAATTCTATGAGTAATCACAGAAGGTAAGAATCACACCGACAGTCAGTAAGTATACAACCTTTTCCAACTAAAGAGCATCGTCAAAGTCAATATTTTTAAATATAATCTACAAATAATCTGTTAGAATGTAAGGTGAATATGAGAGCCTTATTCCCCATTCATCTCATTATCATTTTAGGTTTCGAGTTTGTAAATGTTCCTTAAGATGTATGATTATGGTCACTCGATAAAGTGAATAATAACCAACAGTTTTGTAAAATATGGTAATTCATTTAACTGAACGGATATTATTGTTGGTATTCTCCTCCATCTTTATCGAGATAAATCCATTGCTACTTCTTCGACCTTTTATCTGGTATCAGTCAGCACATTCTGATAAAGTTTGTGACATACATATTTTCTACTACAAAATAGAAAACAAATTTGTGCTACATGTACTACTACTTCGAAAGATAGTTCATTGTTAGGTAAAACATGTTATCAATCACTTATCACCTACAGTTACATCAAACGTTACATGTAAAATCACTAAATACTTATTGGTAGATCATGGTAATATCAAAATGCTTTACTTGAGATAGATTAAAGACTTCGCACGTTACAAAATGTAAATATCATCAAGTGTTATGAATTGGAATTTTATGATTCGATGGGAAAATTTCGAATTTTTACAATGGATAAAATAAAATATCAATAGATAAATGAACGCAATAATACGATATAGCAAAGCAATGATTGTTCACGAGGCACAATTAATGATTCCAATCCTTAAGTGAACTGAGCTAATAGACAAAAAAGACCACTAGTCAAAAGAATAGACTATTTCTTATCAAATCAAATAGCAAACTTATAAACAAATGATTAACACATAAATAAACATGATAACGATACAATAAATAATGCAAGATAGTAGTAGCGTGATACCGTGAAGAAAAATTATATATATATATATAAAGTCGAGACTACTTAATATAACTTACTATCAAAAAATAATCCTTGATCAATGATTATATAAACACCAAATCCAGTAGTAGATAAAAAATTTGATGTTGAAGAGATAGCAAATAATTGTTCGTAAATTAACTCTATAGGTGAAGTAACATCGACTAAACAAATACATGGAATTAATGTCGATGTAACAGATTCAGAAATCCATAAGTAAAATGTTCGTGTAGATTTTTGTTCATTAGTAAATATATTTAGATTTTTTAAAGAACATTTCAATTTTTTACTTTCATGATTATACAAATCGAAAATAACATCTTTGACAAGTGAACCTTCTGCTGGCTAATAAAGACAAAATAGCATATTATATATATATATATATATATATATATATATATATATATATATATATATATATATATATATATATGTTTGGATTAGAATACAATTGATTCGTTTGTGTAAATGAACATATTGAATAAATAGTCATTTCAGATAATATTGGTCACGACACAATATCAGTTGAATAAACCATAGGATAGTTTTGTTCTAACTAAATATGGAATATTCATATTTAAGATTAAACCCTAAAATAGTTGATTCTCAATAGTATCCAACTGATATGTTTACATATTCCTATTTCACACTATTTGTGATCACGTAGGTTACAATAGATTTTGAATTAGTATTTGACTGGTATTACAACATTAAGAAAAAAATCCTCTACTCAAGTTCATGTAAGATAGTAGACAATTCTCAATGTTTTTGATTGAGATCATGAACCGATTGATGTTAGACCACCATTGAAAACCTGGAAGCACTGGACAGCCGTTTCGTCCTATTGTGGGACTCCTCATGATCTCAATGAAAAGCTTGACAATCTCCATAACCCCTAAGCTGATAATAACCATGTGCTCACTAGTGACTAGCTTCGTGAGAAAATTCTCGGAGTTCTAGTGAGAAGCCGTGACCAGTGGAGCTAATCCGTGACGGGTAAAAATAGGTGTCTACATCAGTACAATGGAAGACGGTCGCGCAACTTCGTGGATTGGTTGAGGTTAGACATTAACACCATTGGATGCCGACTTAGTGGTCCAGTAGGTAAAGCGTCTGCGCGCGAGACTGAAGGCCCTGTGTTCGAATCCCGCGAGCGGGATCGAGGATGCGCACTGCTGAGGAGTCCCAAATAGGACGAAACGGCTGTTCAGTGCTTCCAGGTTTTCAATGGTGGTCTAACATCAATCGGTTCATGATATCAATCAAAAACTTAACAATCTCCACAACCCATAAACTGATCATTCTCAATGTGCTTAGTTAATTAACTAATGATAACCGCTTTATATTTATTGCGAAATGTAAAAAATCAACATAATATATGATAGAATTTCATAATGTTGGTAATGTGCAAATTCTCTACAATCAATGATCAAACATAATTAACTGTAAAAATTTCATTGACGCAAATTTTAGTTATTTTTCTGGTAATAATATTTTGCTTTTGCTTTTCATCATTGCTGTGTATAAAACCTCTGATATTTTGTAAACAATTTACTTAGGTTTCAGTGTTATCTTTGTTTTTAAAACAAACAATGTGAACAAATTTATATATAATAGTTTTATGAGAAAGGGTTTTGTGGAGATTGTAATAATCTCAATAGTTGAGATCATGAGTCAATTGAAGTTAGATCATCATGGAAAACCTGGACGGCAGATTCCTCTTATTGTGGGACTCCTCAGCGGTGGGCATACACGGTCCCCAGCGAAGTTCAACCGGGTCTGTTGTGAGATAGTAACTCACTGATGACAATGGTTTTCCATGGTGATCTAGCTTCAACTGAGTCATGATCTTAACCATTGAAATTACTACAATCTCCACAAAAAAACCCATCTGATATTAATCAACATATGAGCACTAGTGACTGGCTTCAAGAGGTATTTCCTGGGGTTCTAGTGAGAAGCCATGACCAGTTGAGTTCAACCAGGTCTGTTGTAAGATAGTAACTCACTGAAGACAATGGTGGATGTGTCGCTAAATTTCGTGGATTAGTTGAAGTTAGACATTAACACCGTTGAATGCTGGCTCAGTGGTCTAATGGTTAAGCGCTCGCGCGTGAGACTGATAGGTTCTGGGTTCGGATCCCGCGAGGCGAGGTCATGGGTGCGCACTGCTGAGGAATCCCACAATAGGATGAAACAGCCGTCCAGAGCTTCAAGGTTTTCCGTGGTGGTCTAGCTTCGATCGACTCATGAATGCAACTATTACATTACTATAATATCCACAAAACTACTCTCTGATAATTATTTCAGTCAGTCAGTAACAACGTAGAACTTCGTACGTACGTACATCAGTTCGAGTTGCCACACCACATTAGCACAGAGATGCACTTGTCGATTCAAATCCCGTCGTGGTAGAGGTAATAAGAGTATAAGCAGTAATCGGGAAGATTAGGGTTTGGAGATGTTATTTAAAGAGTATAATCCAGTGAAAGAAATTTGGAAAGAGGAAAAAAAGGGACATGAAGAATTCAGAAGATTAGAATTTGGGAGAACACAGAGAGTGGATGCACCTGCGCCATTGCAAACGATTTTGAGCCATGTCATTCAGGGTCTCTAACCAACGGTTGCTGTCATCTCGCGGTCCCCAACCAGGTAGTCTACACCTACCAACATGACTCAGTTCACTTGTCAGTGACTTCATGGACTTGTGCCATGTTTTGGTTTGGCCGCCCCTAGCTTTCTTCCAACCTACTCCTATACCACTGAACATAGCACGTCGAGGCAGTCGGTCGTTGGGCATACGTAACACGTGTCCCAGCCATCTCAACTGATGAAGTTTCACTACGTCATCAATTGATTTGCCATCCTTACCTAGTACCCGTTTCCTAACAACTGTGTTACTTACTCGATGGTCCCATGATATATGAGCAATGTTTCGAAGACACCTATGATCAAATACTAGTAACCTACGGATATCCTCTACTCTTACCGGCCATGTTTCACTCCCATAAAGTAGGACGGAACGAACTGCTGCGCAGTAAACACGTCCTTTGGTTGATAGACGGATATCTCGCCTACGCCATAAATGACGCAAGTTGGCAAAAGCTAATCGAGCCTTCTGTATCCGTGCTGAGATTTCGTCACACACTAAACCACAAGGGCTGATGAGACTTCCAAGATAAGTGAAGCGGTCGACACACTCAACTACTTCACTCCCTATCACTAGTTCGGGTGTCGATGTAACCCAATCCTGAAGCAACATTTTGCATTTCGAGGGAGCGAATCGCATCCCGAACATGCTTGCATTGTTGCTTAGAGTGGCCAGAAGACTCTGCATTTTGTCAGTGTCTTCACCAAATAAAACGATGTCATCAGCATATTCTAAGTCAACAAGTGAACCTCCTGGTAGAAGTTCAACCCCTGGAAATTTAGATGAGGAGAGTGTTATCTCTAAAAGTATTTATTTATTATCTGTTATATATTGTAGTAAATATTAATAAACTAATTCAAAAACCTGACTAATTCAAGTTTATTACTCTATGGATAGTATGAACATGAGTGTTATAATTTTCCTAAAGTGCTAGTGAAAAGTCGTGATTGTTCGAATCCAAACACATTGGGAGTAAAACAGTAGTTACCAGTGGCAATAAATGATCATACAGTATCGCAAATAGACTGAAGAGGACGAAACGATAATCAACATTTCAACTATTTTTCAGGATTAGATAAGGCTGAATGTGAGTTTTCTTTTTTATTGTTTATGGAAGTCGTTATATTAATAAATAGTCACATTCACTTGTGATACATTACATAATCTATCATTTTACAAGTAATTCACAAATATATCGGTATTGATATTTCAAAGGGAAATGAAAAATTCTGAATTACACTGATGAGCAAAACGTTGAATTTATTTTACGTTGATTTACAGAAAGTTTTATGAATATAATTTTCTTCTTAATGTATTACATTAACTCGACCCCAAGTACTGAGCAACTAATCGTTCAGAAAAACATCCTTATAAATTTATTAATACTACTTTTTATAGGAACTACACTTTAACGGCGGACAGTGTTCAAATCTTATCTTTTTTTTCTCTTAAATTCTATGCATCATTTACGTATTTCAAAAGAATGAAACGTCGATCTATGAAAAAAAACATCCACAATACTTGTAAGAGTCTATTAGTTTTTTTCGTGTTTTCACATAATTAATTGTTAAACAGATTAATAATTAAAAACGAACAGGTAGTTTTTCGGTTGATTCAATTGAAAATGATTTTCAAAGATATTACCAAGGCAATAGATTCCAAAACAAAATTCTATGCATATATTCTCAAATGAATACTTGTCAACTAAATGATACAAGTGATTGACTTGAAGACATATCAAGTTAAAGAATAAGGAAGAGTTATCCACGACAATAATGAAGAGCATTAAATACTCTTCATTTTTAAAAAAAGCAAACATAATAAATACATCAAAAAATCTTGTAGTAACCTCCCACATTCACTCATAATTGTTCCTAACTGAGCTAGTTTAACGCTCAAATCTCAGTAGTATATTAGATGTGTTACTTAATATCCCATTAATTACTGTACATTAACACAGATTATTTATCGATGTACATTTTTATTAGATACGTGTTAATGTGTATCTGTTTGCTTATTTATTTATTCTATTAAATTTATAGATTTATAAACAGATTTATTCACTAGTACAGTTTACCTGTTGAACTGTATGTATGAGATATCCGTTTCCCAAAATATTTCTTATCCGACTAATTTATATGGCATTTTTAACTAAACCTACTTACACAATGTGATGTTTCAGAAGTTAACTCGGAACTTTTAGTCTAGAAATTAAATGAGAATTTAAAATTATCAAAGTTATTTTGGACTACTGAGAGAGTTATTGTTGGAAATGTTCACAAGAAAAATAAAGTGAAAATTCACTAAGAGAAAAGTCTAAATCACAAATTAGTATTTCTATTTGTAATCTGTATATTAATTGCACAGATTATGAGCTATGAGAAACATTTTTCGGATCACATTTTAAGACAAAATGTCATATTTTCAGACGATGTACGTCTGACCATTAGGTTTTACTTTCACAAATACGTTTGGATGGTAGCGATACGGCATGATAAATAATTATGTAGTGTCTCTGAAAAAAACAGTGGTTCTCATGAGAAAGTTCACTTTTGATTCAGCTAGCTTTATAGCTGAAAAACTAGCGAAAGAATAATCAAAAATCAAGTTAAAAGTCAGTACGAAATGATGCACACAGGATGCTTCATGGACCAACTTATCATAAACATAAATGTGGCACATTGGAAACATTAGCAGGCTGGTCATTTAAAATAAGTTTATTAAGAAATAACAAATAAGGGGAGAAAAGTAATCCAATGAAAATAAATTTATCAAATCATACATTTGGAGTTGTCTGAAATTAACGAAAAGAAGAATATAAAAGAAAAACCTACAACGACACATCATATCAATTGTATGCAACGAAAGATGGTCACACAGTATCGCGAACTGATTCAAGTTAGATATATACACTAATATCAGTTCGTGGTGTGAACTGTAGTAAAAAATTCGATGATATCCACAAAGCCCCAATACTAAAAATAAAAGAATAAAAATATACATACCTCAAATACTAAGTAACCACTGATCGAACAGCGCGTATAGTTACCCAGATTACTCTATAAAATGAAAAATGAGGGTCCGTTTAGTTACTTTTACAATAAAGTTAATGAACCAGACTTTAACAAGTTGATATACGTGACATATCTGTAGTAACATTATATAAAATATGATGAACATGGAAAATTGTTTGATAGTAATAACTGGAATTCACCTAATCAGCGATCTGTGACTGAAAACGTCTACATTTATTAGGATGTATGTATATCTAGACGGCATGTTTCAAGTCGACTGAAAAACACATACTACATTCCACCACTAGCCAATAAAAAATGATATGAAAATGTATTCGCCGGGCATTATAGCATTAAATCATCAGTACAAGCAGCCGACTATCATGTGACCTTAAGGACTTGATTTTTCTTATGGACCAAAAATGTAAAAAATGTAATCCCTCAATAGGTATATATAGTTTCAAATAAAACGCTACTAGTGAAGTTGGTGTGAATGCCAATGAAGCTAATTTCTACTGAGACAAAGTAGAATAAGTTTACGGCTGATAGCCGAATGCATAAATTACTACACGATGAGGAAAAGTATTACTGAAAAAACTGTCACAGAAAAACCTATTTTGCAATACTCCCTGGTTTTCTATTTTTTACAATTGATCGGTCATTGAGTAGTGACAATATCATGACTATATAGTCGTTTATTGATGATAGACCTCTGTAGATCAAGTTGCTATGTGGCTACTGGTTTATTTAGGTAGCTTGACATCACATAGAATACGTTAACGTATCAACCAGCATTAAATCTAGGTTCAGAATCTCCTGCTAACAACTTCCAACCACCTAATATCTTGTTATTTGATTTGACCTTTAGCTGGTTCTGATTGATAAAAAAATATCAACGAAGAATAAATTTGTTAAAATAATGGCATAAAATTGAGAAAAAAATTTATGTTCATAGGTAATCACTTACTTTGTATGGAGTTGACAAATTGAAGTGAATATAATTTGACTCTACCAAACTGAAATGAGATGCACGAGCATCCCATAACTTGATTGGACAGTTTGAACACTCTATGGATGTATTTTCACTGATAGAAATATGGGGATTAGTTGAACCATGGATGAAATGATTTAACTTTAAAAGGAGTTAAAATCAAGAAAAATCTCAACAGTATATTATTTTAGCATTACAATTTTATGAGAAATCAGTCAGTAGAACAAGATTTTAATATATGCAGTAAAAATAAAGGTAAAAGTGGAGGATTAGTTAAGCTTGTTTTTACTAACATTTGGTTTCCATAGAGCTGTCACTACAATTACTGAACAATTACAATTGACGTATACAACACGGGATTGCTCTGTGCGAGTGTGTGTTCCCAAATAACTGTTAACAGCTAATATACTAATGAATTTATACGATGAACTCTTAGCACTGATATTTCGCAAAGGTATCGGCTACACTTGAAAATTATTGATGTTGAAAACATTAGTTAGCTGGTTGAAATTAGCTTTATACATGTTTAGTTAGTCTATTTTGAAAGAATTCTTTGTCAGACCAAAATATATCTGTAAAGTGATCAACTGCTTCTTTTTCGATATACTATAAAAGATTATAAGAATTCATGGTTTGAAGGGTTGGATAACACCCATTAAGAGATTTGTCGAGGACAGGTGCATGTAAAGCTATTTTGCCTCTAAAAAGAATGATTTTCTTTAAAAAAATGTTTGTTGAAAATAATGTAACTAGTTTGTAGAAGGATTACAAGTAAGTGAATATTGACCTTTTATAAACTATCTAATTCAATAACATCTTAAACATTATGATAGCAAAAGCAGTCAATATCTAAATGAAAAATGATATTATTGCTAATTGAGATGATAACACTATTCAGTTTAAGCGTGTATTTGTAAGTGATTCCACTGTATAACTTAAGTGAATTACACTTTAGCATAGATTGAATACTATACATATATATAAAAGAAATTTGCAGCTCAGGTCACCATTCGGAAAATTTACGGACCAATATTATTATCCAAAGTTTTTTTCAATCTATTTCTACTAGAATCAACGTATAGCATCAAAGTAAATGGTGTACATAATAAAATATTCTAACTGGAAACAAATCTGCTTTTTGTCCAGTACTTTATTCATCGTCAATTCTATTACATTTCTGGCTTTGGAATACGAAAGATAAATGAAAAAAATTGAAAAATACTTACACTATTGACATATTTCGATTCCAAACTATGTTTAATTTCATCTAAGTGATTATGTATTTCCCTTTGAACACTGTCATAAAACCAATAAAAATATTAGTTTTAATGTTGTATAATTCCTATATATATGTATAATGTTTTATTAAATTATTCCAGTTGATTTTTCAATGGATGGAGGAATAGATTAAAATCCATGGAAAATATCATCATATTCCGTCATATTCAAAAATTCCAAACAAGTTGAATATACTACCAAACGAAATAAAATAGAATCTATAGGTCAACGATTGGGTTGTATGAGTGAGCTCTATGATATCTAGTTTAATCTAGATAATTGAGTAGTTTTTGTACTGGAACCTCATACAAAATGTGTGGTTGATGGATAAACATAAAAAGTTTAATAGTTTATTAAGATTCATTAAACTAATGGAATGGGAAAATTATGGAATTATACCTCTATTGTTACATAACGGTTATTTATTTAGGGATAGAAAATGTGTAGTTAAGACTATTCAGAAAATATATGAACAGTTTAAATAAATAATTATCATATTATGAGTCAGTTGAAGCTAGACCACCATTGAAAACCTGGAAGCACTGGACGGCCGTTTCGTCCTAGTGTGGGACTCCTCAGCAGTGCGCATCCACGATCCCGCACCCCTGAAGACAATGGTATATGGTGGCGCAACTTCGTGGATTGGTTGAAGTTAGACATTAACACCGTTGGATGCCGACTCAGTGGTCTAATGGTTAAGTGCTCGCGCGCGAAGCCAGTAGGTCCTGGGTTCGAGCCCCGCGTGACGCGGGATCGTGGATGCGCACTGCTGAGGAGTCCCATACTAGGACGAAACGGCCGTCCAGTGCTTCCAGATTTTCAATGGTGGTCTAGCTTCAACTGACTCATGATTTCAATCTATGAAAATTTCTAAAAATCTCCACGAACCCCTTCTGATAATTATCATATTAACATGAAAAAATTAAAGGTTCTACCTGTAAGGGCATAAACATGAAATTCTGACGAGATAATCATAGATTTTCAGGTGAAAGGCTTAGTGAAGCAAAGTAACATATTTTAGACGTCATGATGATGAAGATATAATATAAACCATGATGAGAGTAAGAAGAAATATTTATATGTGAAAATCTAAAAAACAGATTTAATAACAGTAAACCTTCAAATCGTTTTTTACTGTCTGAAATTGTTCATATTCAAGTGACTGAAAATGAAAAACAACCTAGATATATCATATTTTGGGGTAAAATTTAACTCATCTATGCTTTTCTTTACCCAGTTTTGGCGGAAAAAAGAACAACTAAAAGTATATTCGTGAATGAAATAAACAACACCTACTTAGCCTGCAACTGATTATCAGGAAGTTGTAAAAGTGACTCAGATGTGTACACATTTCCAATATGAAAATCTTGATAAGAAACAACAGGATTATTGAGGTTACCCGAATGAACTAGCTGATCTGGTAGAAGAATTAGTCCAGGACAATCGTTGTAATGCCAAACTAATAGAATATATCTGAATGATAATGTACAAATAAATATACGAATCGTGTAAGATATTAGTCATGTTCATTACTCTTAACAAAAAAAGAAATATCACATACAACCTTCCTATTTCTCATTAACCAACCATGACATGACAATACCAAGTGAAATACAGGATCAGTTGTGAGAAAAAAATTAGAAAGGAATATTCCAATGATTTTCGCAGTCTACGGCATGTATGATAAAATAAATAGGTAACAGAACATCTATGAAAAATACACAGTTGATTGGCTATCTGAATTTAGTAGCTAAGTGGAAAACGAGACGATGATCGAAGTGAAAGTTACTGGGTTCGAGTCCCGGAGTAAACATCAACTCCGGGACGTAAGTTCATTATTATTATTACTATTATTATTATTATTATTATTATTATTATTATTATTATTATTATTATTATTAGCTTTATCCAATATTATATTTTTGGTACAATATGGAATCCTTATCACATAGTATTTCAACAAGTTTCCGTTTATTTCTTGGTTGATCCAGTGCTAAAAGTATTCTTTACTATTTTGAGAACGCGGAGCAGTTAAATCTACTTTATAAGTAATTAGTACTGAGAACATATCTGGTTATTGGGCAACCAAGTAGAAATTTCTAAAGCTAATTTTAAGTCTTACACTTTTTTGTAAGGGTTAATGATATTATTAGGTTGTTCAAACAAATGTAGGTGAACCGAGGTTCAAACCTGAAAATTAGTAATAAGTGGTCAGATGTCTAAACTACTCGACTCGAGGACTCAAAATGAACCTGTGGAAACAACACCACGAAAGAAAAAGGAGACGATAAACTGTTATCAAACTAATTCTTCACCAAAAAAACTTAATTATTGCACAGATACATTTACATTGTATACTTCCTTTTCCGGATTTTCTTATTATTCAACACAATTATTAATCGCTTTTTACTATTCCTTGATGATACCTATTCTGTTATTTTTCATTTCATCGACGTTTTGTCTTTGTTCTACCATATATTAGGACAAATTGAAATGTCGCGATTTCGGGTATAAAGTTCTACATTGGTGTATATGGTTTGTCTCAGTCAGTCAGTAACAACGTGGAACTTCGTACGTACGTACATCAGTTCGAGTTGCCATACCACATTAGCACAGAGATACAGTTGTCGATTCAAATCCCGTAGTGGTAGAGGTAGTAAGAGTATAAGCAGTAATCGGAAAGATTAGGGTTTGAAGATGTTATTCAAGGAATATAATACAGTGAAGTAAATTTGGAAAGAAAATAAGGGACATGAAGAGTTCAGAAGATTAGAATTTGGGAGAACACAAAGAGTGTATGCACCTGTGCCATTGCAAATGATTTTGAGCCATGTCATTCAGGGTCTCTAGCCATCGGTTGCTATCATCTTGCGGTCCCCAACCAGGTAGTTTACACCTATCAACATGGCCCAGTTCACTTGTCAGTGACTTCATGGACCTGTGCCATGTTTTGGTCTGGTCGCCCCTACCTTTCTTCCAACCTACTCCTATACCATTGGTTTGTCTATTATATTTCTTATGACGCCTAGTCTTTCCCATAAAATATCGTCCTCGACAATTATAACACACACTCTGTTGTTTCCAGTCATATTGCTTAAAAGGTAAAAATTTTCATTTCAAGACACCTTTTAGCTTCAAAACATGTAAACATTATGCTGTGTAGCACAAAAAGGTAAATTTAAATGAAAACTGAATGCACTCAGTTGTTAGTGCATTATTTCACCAACCTTAATTTCTTCAGTAACCAAAATCGATAGCAACCCAAGATTAAAAAACACTTCCTATTAAATATTTCTGTCAACATATTTTCGGAAGAATCCTGAAACGTTTGAATGACAGATGACTTTGGTTCTCCTAATCCCTTAATCCGAAATAAATACATCAAGAAATTTGAGAATATAGTTATATCACTTAAAAACGATTAAGTAGTATTATAAAGTGCATATAATAAAACTCATTGGATTCAAATACATGATTGTACATCTTTGAATTAAAAAAAAATTGAAATCGAATCCACAGTGTTAATACTATTTGTATTAGTTTTCGACGTAAATTTAAAAGTTATTAATTTCTAAATGGTCTCAAAATATAATGCCGCCACTAAGTGGCATGAGCTGCAGAACCATTAAAATCTTGAGAGCATGGAATAATTGTTTCATCTTAGTCTACAACTGTCAGGAAATGCTAGTCATCCAGACTCCTCAAATCTCATAATGAAAACGATATTTAAAATAACCCATTGTGTCATTAAATAAGAAAAAGAGTATCCAGAGAGGAAAATTTTCTTTTCAACGAGATCATTTACTTAAGCTGTACATTCGTATTTATAGTTATATGGAAAACATATGTCTATAGAAGGATAGAAAAGATTGAATCATAAATTGATTTGAGACTTTTTACAGATTAAGTATCCAGTGTTTCGAAATTCATATGTACAAATTAACCGCGATTCATTGTGATGGTACCCAATCGAAATCGTCAGTGATTAACTGTCTCAATTGTGGCTAAATTAATTTCATATATAATGATTTTCACAAGGGAGTCGTCCATGAAGATCAGTCCTATCTACGATTCGGCTGCATGAAGGATGAACAGGCAGGTACTCCGAAATGAACTAAATTCTGTTTACAAATAGTTTCAATATTTTCAAGTTCGATGCATTCTCGATTGATATTTAAAAACTGACGACTATTTTGGCTAAAATTTCTTAAAACTTTGTGTAAGAATTACTATACAAATGGAATTCGAAGATACTGGGGAAAAACCCAGTTAACTTGGTATTCAGTTAAACGAAAATCCAAATCACTGTATTAAGTGATAACTGACAAAAAACCAATTATAACAATAAAAACACTGGAGTGAAATAGACCAGTATAAACTTTTTAGAGGAAGAATTATTGGATGTATGTGCACGATGAGTATCCGTTACTTAACATTTCCAATCATAAGGAAAACAGGAGACACACAATCAACCATATTTCTTTATGTGGTTACATATAAGAAGTGCATCATATTACAACATTTTGAGAAGGGTGCATTATGTAAGGTTTACCTTCTACACAGAAATCATAACGAACTGCCTACTATATTGACTCAATTCTAATGTGTAGACAAATGCATACAAAGATAAGTGTGGAACAATTCAGTAAGTTATTCAATAATTTGGATTTAAATAAATATGTAGCCCTAATATTCATGATTAGAAAAAGAAAAAGTGATAGAGAGGAGGAAAACAATTATTAAAGTATATGTATGGGAATCTATGAATGACATAAACAATAGCGTGGGTGTTTTATATTATATATTATGGGAAAGTTCAAAACCACACACTAACGACAATAAACACTGTTTCAAACTACCTAATCAGAGAATAATACTAGCGAAAAACGTCTAATCAACTTACTTTAAAACGTTTTGGACAATTCAAAACAATAAATGGATCACCTACACAGAAAATAAACAAAAGAGAAATAAAGTAGGTTATATGATGGAGTTTTAGGAGGAAAAAACATGAGTGCTGAGAAAGAAATTCTCATTTTATTAAAATAGAAATAAGTATAAACTAAACAAAAAATAAACTTTTCAATAAACTCCCATGTTCTACGGTTATAAATCTAAATTAATGTTTAAGACTACAAGATGATTTCACTCACTCTATGTGTTTTCTAGAGTTACTTATACTATTAATCTTTTACGAACAAAGATGGACAGTGGCTAGCAGTGGAATTCAGGACGCACGTTTCGTCCCATTTGGGACTCGTTAGCTGGATGCACCCGCATTCCAGAATTGACGTTCACTATGGGACTCAGACCCAGTGCTATTCGCTTCAAACGTAATCGCGTTATCCACTTACCTACTGAGTCCTGTTAGCCGATTGCTTGTGCAGTGGCAATACGCACAGTATATACATATGCCAATAAGGGACTAATCAATTGTAGTTCTAAACATCAATGGAACGATTCAAGTAAATAATACCACGTGAACGTATACAAAATTGTTGCGCTTTGAAAAAGGCACAAACAACTGTTGTAATCATAAGTTTATGATTCAACAACTTATAAGTCACGGCAGAAGTAAAAACCTAGAAAATTCCAAGTCTATTTGACCACACTATGCAATAATGAATAAATACAGAGATATATACGAAGCTCTGAGCTGGAGAACAAAACCCCATCAAAATCATTTACTTGAGCTACAAATCTTCTCCACCATATCAATATATACGAAGCTTTGAGTATAAATATTTTAATGGAAGATCCACTCACATCATTCGGTTATCCAGACTGAATTAGGTGGAGCAGGATTTGAAGCTGTAAAACCTAATAGTCAAAATTTGAATGCTTTAACTATAGGGCCAGTGTTCAGATCATGGTATTTATTGGATATGAATTGGATCAATTAACTTAAGATTTGAAAAGCCCAACTTATATATACCATAAGAGTGCTAATAAAGGACTTTGAATTAAAGGCTATCCATTTTCGTTGCTAATTAGCAAGTAGATAGAGCCAACATTTATAGATTGACAAACAAACACAAACAACTTACATGATATTAAACATGAACAAGTAATTAGTTCAGGTTTATGAGGGATTATCTGGGAATTAGGAAAATCATTTTCTACATCACTTAAAACTTCATGTCTTAAACGTTCAACCCAGAAGAATGAATACATCACAGGCAAACTATTGAATTCATGAGAAGGATATGTTGACCTACAACCAGAAAGAAAACAAATAAACGCTCCCATAAATTACAATAGAAAGGCAAAATCAGAACTGAACTGTTAAAAAAGATCCGTCTAGAAGGATGTAGATATCCTTAAAATAAAAAAAGTATGATTATAAAGTCTTTTTACGTCTCTCGTTATTAGTATAAAATACTATTATTTCCATACACTGAAAACTTATAAGTAAATAAATAACCGAATTATCATAGATTATGTTTCGATTCTGTAACTGGTACCAAACAACATAATGTATGGCTTACCGATTATAAATATGGTCATGTCTCCCGCAGCATGTATTTCTCTATACGACTGTCACGGATCCCAAAGATCTGGTAATAACTCTAACGACAACTGCGATACCATAAAAACTAGCGCTGCTAGCTTCAAGTGCCCTAGCAACTCAAAAAGATCAATCTTATTGAACGAGACTAAAGCCATTTCAATTATATACTGATTCAGTTATTATTAATTATACAGTTATATTTACTGGGTAATTGCAACTGAACACAAAATCATAGTGAAATAATCAGCACAAAGAAAATGCACTAAGTATCAAATAACTAAATACAACTGCCATAAGCTGGAAGTCAATTAATAGCATTTACGAAAATGAGCTTAAATTGATTGAGCGAAAATCACCTTAAGTTGATATGCGACAATACTACTGATTTTCTTTCTCGTACATTACATTTAAGAATACAGTACCTCCAACAATGACCATAATTTATTTAGATGAATGATACAGAATGATCTAAGGTTTGAAGTTACCCACAAAACACGGAAACTTTGACTCAATTCTTAAAATGTAAAAATATACATCGACCTAGATGAATGTCTAAATGTAGGCAGAGAAACGAGTAAGAAGTTTTATTATAAACTGATTTATGATCCGTTCGATCTTGACATTTGCTGGAAATTACTATATAACTACAGATTTTGATCGTTACCGTGTACATGAACTTCACTGTCTACGTTCGAAATCAATGCTGTCACATGTCAAAATGCGGTCACAACAACAAATCTATGTGAATTTCACCAATCTTATGAAGTGGTATTTCATACTGGCTTCCAGCCTTTTGAAGGGGTTTTGAAATTTGGATGGTACAAATTTATTTCATGGTGGTCACTGGCATCTAAGATGATCACTTCTTTTTTATTCAGTCTATCTGTCTTATCACTTCAAAATTAAGATAAAATCTTTATTTTCAATATAAATTTATGGGGAAGTTATTATGATGAAAATCAAACTTTTTTGGAAAATATATTATTTAGCCCCTCACATATAAATAAAATCAATTTATCGAAATTAACTATACAGTAGAATAACCTACCATGGACTAAATACCATAACAAGATCGCCACATTTTAAATCATTGCCTAAAACGAAATTTGTTGCAGCGGATGAAAACAACTCTTCTGTAACAAAAGGGACACCAGAAATAGGTAGAAGGAGGATCGCGAATTTGTTTGATACATTTTCATTAGCATTAGATATTTCAGTTTTATTTTCTAAAGGTGTTACAACTTCACGCACACCGAATGCTACTAATCCAGGCAAACTATCTGAATAATTACGAAATACTCTAAGAATTTGAAAAGTTTTCGAAGCATGCTTAGTAGAATCTATAAGAAAATATATATGATAAATTTTATGAATATTCGAAAAGAGAGCACAATTAATTGTTAAAATCGAATTTCTCTAAACTAATTCCTAAAGTGAGCAATTATACGTAAACTCATGTCACCTTGCTGAATTCATGATGAGCCCAATGAATGGTGCTAACGACATACATATGACTACTTATTTCGTACATACGTTCATGAAAAGTTATATGAAGTCGAGTATGAGTATTTTGGGGACGTATATTTCATATATGTGAATATTAGGCAGTAGAAAACCATAAGAAACGCAGGCAGATATGTACAGCGTTGGAGTTCCGTAGTACAGCGAATTCGAGAAAATTAAGAGTGACTCTAGCTTACAAACGGTGTAAAAAATACAAGTAGATACATATATGTATAAGGAAACAATCGAGGTTAAAATTGAATAATTAACGAACCAATCTGTACAGAATAATTAGTAACATCAAAATAATTAGGCAACCTAGAAACAGAATAAACTCATGTGGGGTTATAACAGGCAAACCAATACAAACGCTTTAGAAAGGGCTTAAATGACTATACGAAGTAACAATGAAGTCAATGGTAAGGACAAAATATGAGAAAAAAAAGGAAAGGATGTAGTATTCTTAAGAAACAACCGAAGGTTACTCGAATGTCATACAATAATTTGTGGTTAATTGATGAAAAATGATTCTCCGGTAATCATATCATCAATCAACAGAATCATTTTACATTAAAGTGTAAAAATTTCAAGCTGGAAAATCTTACTGAATAAAGCTGCAGTTACAGTTCATAAATACATTATTTAAACACTAAGTGAGAAGGGTTCATTACATTCAATTCTAAATATTTGGTGTGTGGACGTTTGGCAGAAATTTTGAGTTAGAAGGTAGAGCAAAATAACAGAGACCTCGAATGCCACATATCTCCAACATGATTGACCAAGCCAGTGAAATGATGTTGGCATATTAGTAAGTATCGGCCTCAATAATTGTTGAGACAATACAGATGCTCAGATAAGGTGCCAGGTTCATATAGAATTGCTAGCAGTGAAACCCAGGAAGCGCGTCTTGTCCTATTTTGTAATTGTCGACTGCATGTACTTGCATCTCAGAATGCCAGGTTCATACTTTATGCAACTTACTAACCAAATGGTTCAGAGCTACAATCGCATGAAATGTCAAGAACTAAGCAAGTTAAGATTAAAACTGGGAGGAACTGACCAAATATCTTGTGAGTTACTTATTAAATCAATGGACCATTAAGTTTAAAACCTATGAGATACTGCAATGAAAACAACATCTGGGTGACCAATCTAAAAACGGAATGGAAAAGATGAAAACAAGTGTGCAGCAGCATTTTTAGCCAAATCATACTAGTTATTAAGGAGGGGGAAGATTAGTTGCTGATAATGAGAAATGGTTGCCCTAGTTAGACCATTCAAGGAAGTGTTTTGGGGCCGCATTGTAAACCCTAATCACCTATAAGATAATCGAATACTCAACACAAAATTGTACCATGACTAGGTGTGCTGAGAGAAGAAAGGATGGGAAGCAAACCAAGTAACTGTCTTTTTACTTGACACATTATCCAATCAAAAGACTAAAAATACGAAAGGGTAACTGACAAACTTGGGATTTGTATATACAAATAATCAAGGCACTATGCTAAGACTTGCTATAGATAACAAATTTGTTTTAAAACTTTAAAACGGATTTTAAAAAGTATGAACTTTTACTCGATGAATATTCGTACACCTACTGAGAGGTATTTCAGTCTTAAACTTGGAATTTTCAGGAAGTTACAAAAACTGCGAGCATCCTATTGTGAAAATATTAAATAACCATGACTCATATTTCATTTTCTTCTTGGTTAAATCAAACCAAACCTTTACAACTTCATAATTTGACAAGTATAATAAACCATGCATGGAAATTACCAAGGATATTTTGAGTTGAACGTTGATGCAACCAGATAGAACGTTGTGAAGAGTTACGTTTGACCAAATAGTGGAGTTTTCGCAATATACTATTCCTAAACACAAACCATATCAAAACTGTTAGTATATTAAAATATACTTTCGTAATATAATAATAGAAAGTAATTAGAAAATGGTGGTAAACGATAACAATACCCAACGGCCATCATTATTAAATTATTATAAATATAAGGCAGTGAAACATGGCCGATAAGAGTAGAGGATATTCGTAGGTTACTTGTATTTGATCATAGATGTCTTCGAAATATTGCTCGTATATCCTGGGACCACCGAGTAAGTAACGCGGTTGTTAGGAAACGGGTACTAGGCAGGGATGGCAAATCCATCGATAAAGTAGTGAAACTTCATCAGTTGAGATGGCTGGGATAGGTGTTACGTATGCCCAACGACCGACTGCCTCGACGTGCGATGTTCAGTGGTATAGGAGTAGGTTGGAAGAAAGGTAGGGACGGCCAAACCAAAATATGGCACAAGTCCATGAAGTCACTGACAAGTGGGATGAGCCATGTTGGTAGGTGTAGACTACCTGATTGGGGACCGCGAGATGATAGCAACCGATGGTTAGAGACTCTGAATGACATGGCTCAAAATCATTTGCAATGGCGCAAGTTTTGGTGGGGTTTCGTTCTCTGAGCTGGACGGTTCGGTCGTGGAGCTTTCATCGTCCTTCTGAACGACATCATCCACCATCTCAATGGCGCAAGTGCATCCACGTTTTGTGCTCTCCCAAATTCTAATCTCCTGATTCCTCCTTGTCACTTTTTTCTCTTCCCAAATTTATTTCACTGTATTATACTCCTTGAATAACATCTTCAGACCCTAATCTTTCCGATTACTGCTTATACTCTTACTATCTCTACCACTACGGGATTTGAATCGACAACTGCATCTCTGTGCTAATGTGGTATGGCAACTCGAACTGTTGTACGTACGTACGAAGTTCTACCTTGTAACTGACTGACTGATTGATTATAAATATAATATAAGTAAAAATAAAAATAAAACTATTCACTACAAATTAGCATTCTACTAAAACTACTTAATAGCACATTTTCTATTAATGACATTAAATACTGTTCGTTAACCTAACGGATGTTTTGATATAAGAATCGATTTTAGTAGAGGATATCTCATACTAGCGAGTATTACAGCAATAGAAAAACTAAAAAATAATGATATTTCGATAATTGTAAAGATTTGACTGAAATGAAGAAACAATATTCTTTAGATAACTTTATAAATGTATTCATTTTATACATTCGGATGCATGCATTCGTGGATTTTTGAGAAAATTCAACCCCTAAAGTAACGAAAAAATCTTACTCCAGAAGCTTCAAAGCTTTTAAGATATTTACACTCTGGTTTTATCATACTAGCTTGATTATTGCCGTCAGGCTAACAAAAATGACTAGATTCACATTTCTAAGCGGCTAAATAAGCTGATATACCTTTATATCTTAGATGTCAATAGAAACTGTTGACAATGTACAATCCTCATCTTATCTCTGAATATCAACAAAGCACTAAGTGTATCCTTAAATTTTGACCACTATTACTAAAGAAACTGTAACACACACCCACTGATGGCGACCGACGTTGTCAATAACTCTTCAAAAAATCAATTTAAGTACGACACAAGTATTTTACTGACAAATAGTCATTTTCAAATAGATGCACAATGTAAATGCAATACGTACGAAGATATTCGACGAGGAAGAGATTTGACAGTTAGATTTGTATAAGGAAGCTCTGAACAATCTCGTTGCAACTCAGTAAGATAACATAAGGAATCAAAGTTAGATTCATCGAGATTTGTGAATTCATTCTGATTGACAACTTCAGTCACAGAACTTGGCTGAGAATACTCACAAATTACAGCATTTTCATTTTGAGAGGAAACTGAAGACGAACAGTTACCGGAAATCAAATTCTGGAGCTGCGGGGACTCATTCGATGACTGAAATAAGAAACAAAAACAATCAATGAACATTGACTTGAGATTTTCAGGTAAAAACTAAATACATGAAATGTTCACACTACTTCAAACAAAACGCACAGATGACATTTTCAAAAATGTAATATATATGCAATTAAGATTCTTTTTATGTCTCGTGGTTCCAAAAACATTAAGCTGATTACTTTGGACTGCTCACACCCATATTACAATACATCCAATATGTTAAATCGGTCAAGCAAAATGTCGACAGTTGCAAAGATGGTGCAAGCTAACTAAATGTATACACACTTATCAGAAAACTACAACCTCGACAAAGTAGGGACATTCACTTGTCATCATACCGACCGGAATACTTGTGTCATAAATCCTTACTTTGTTAAAAAGGTTTACTAAAGAGCAGAAAAACGAAGTGTGAATTGCTGCAGAGTGAATAGCTGCACCATGACTTCTTGTCGTTTATCTGGATCTATGGTGTCGGTAGGTTTAATAAACAGACGTAACTTTGCAAAGGCTAATGCCATTAGAAAGAATATGTTTGACTGATTTTAAATCTCTTCTAATATCCAAATTGTAAAGTCAATTTCGGACATTTGATGAAAAGTTTAGTTGTCAGTCAATAGACATATCGACAAAGATTCAATCTATCAGACCATGCGAAAAAAGATGAATCAACTAAATGACCTAACAATGACGGCTGAAAATGCTGCAAGCGACGTAAACATGAGACAATTGTACGATACAACAAAGAAACTCGCTGAAAATCGCTGCAAACCAGAACGACCAGTCAAAAGCAAGGAAGGCGAGGTAATCACCAACATTGAAGAACAACGAAACAGGTGGGTAGAACACTTCAAAGAACTCATGAATCAACCAGCCCCACTGAACCCACCCAAAATCGAAGCAGCACCCACGGACCTCCCAATCGATGTTGGCCCACCAACAATTGAAGAAATCAACTTGGCCATCAGACAAATCAAGAGTGGCAAAGCAGCAGGACCAGACAACATTCCAGCAGAGGCACTAAAAGCAGACGTAGCGGTAACTGCAAGGATACTCCACATTCTCTTCAATAAGATTCGGGATGAAGAACAAGTACCAAAAGACTGGAAAGAAGGACTTCTGATCAAAATACCGAAGAAAGGCGATCTCAGCAACTGTGATAACTACAGGGGCATCACTCTTCTCTCAATACCGGAAAAGTCTTCAACAGAGTATTGTTAAACATGATGAAGGAATCCATAGACCCCAACTTCGAGACCAACAGGCAGGATTCAGTAAGGATCGATCGTGTCCAGACCAAATCCCAACACTACGGATCATTGCGGAACAATCAATTGAATGGAATTCATCACTCTACATCAACTTCATTGACTACGAGAAAGCATTTGACAGTGTGGATAGGACAACAATACGGAGGCTTCTTCAACACTACAGCGTGCCTACGGAAATAGTCAATATCATACGGAATTCCTATGATGGATTGGACCACAAAATCGTGCATTGAGGACAAGTAACAGACTCGTACAGGGTAAAGACCGGTGTCAGGCAAGGCTGCTTACTCTCACCCTTTCTCTTTCTCCTGCTGATCGACTGAATTATAAAAACGTCAACATCTGAGGGGAAGCATGGGATAAAGTGGACAACTAGAATGCAGCCGGACGATCTAGACTTCGCAGATGATCTGGCTCTTCTATCGCACACGCAACAACAAATGCAGGAGAAGACGACCAGTGTAGCAACAGCAGTAGGTCTCAACATTCACAAAGGGAAAAGCAAGATTCTCAGATACAACACAGCATGCAACAATCGAATCACACTTGACGGAGAAGCTTTGAAAGATGTAAAAGCGCTTACATATCTGGGCAGCATCATTGATGAACACAGTGGATCTGATGCAGATGTAAAGACGCGGATCGGCAAACCAAGAGCAGCATATCTACAACTGCAGAACATCTGGAACTCAAAACAACTGTCAACTGACACCAAAGTCAGAATTTTCAATACAAATGTCAAAACAGTTCTACTATATGGGGCGGAAACTTGGAGAACTACGAAAGCCATCATCCAGAAGATACAAGTGTTGATTAATAGTTGTCTACGCAGTCAGTCAGTCAGTAACAACGTAGAACTTCGTACGTACGTACAACAGTTCGAGTTGCCATACCACATTAGCACAGAGATGCAGTTGTCGATTCAAATCCCGTAGTGGTAGAGATAGTAAGAGTATAAGCAGTAATCGGAAAGATTAGGGTCTGAAGATGTTATTCAAGGAGTATAATACAGTGAAATAAATTTGGGAAGAGAAAAAAGTGACAAGGAGGAATCAGGAGATTAGAATTTGGGAGAGCACAAAACGTGGATGCACTTTTGCCATTGCAAACGACTTTGAGCCATGTCATTCAAAGTCTCTAGCCATCGGTTGCTATCATCTTGCGGTCCCCAATCAGGTAGTCTACACCTACCAACGTGACTCAGTCCACTTGTCTACGCAAGACTTCGGATCTGTTGGCCAGACACTATCAGCAACAATCTACTGTGGGAGAGAACAAACCAAATCCCAGCGGAGGAAGAAATCAGGAAGAAGCGCTGGAAGTAGATAGGACACACATTGGGGAGAGAACCCAATTGCGTCACAAAAGAAGCCCTCACATGGGATCCTCAAGGCCAAAGAAGAAGAGGAAGACCAGAGAACACATTACACCGAAAAATGGAGACAAGCATGAGAAGAATGAACAACGATTGGACGGTACTAAAAAAGAAGGACAGAGTGGGATAGAGAATGCTGGTCAGCGGCCAACAGGTGTAAGTAAATAAGAGGCAAGTAATTTTTAGTCTTTAAAAAACCACGCGTTATAGCTGTAAGATAGTGTACCCGGAATGTTATCTGGTATACTCAACCTTTGGTAACCGAATCGACACTATACTTACTCTGATAGGTAGTATAAGTTAGTGATAATATTTCTTACATGTTAACACTGTCAAACAGCACAAAAACCAAGCCCTATATGTCTTACAGATTTTTATTCGCGTACATCCCTCACAAGATAGTATCTCAAGACGTTTTGTGTGAGGAAAGGAAACACCAAAAGCATAAAACAAATCACTCAATACGTCAGCGCTGTCTTAAGACAATCTCTATTCCTAACCTTTTAACTACAAAAATCGATTAGTTTTCCTTATTATGAGCCTAAAAGGATGATCATTTTATACATTTCAATTTCAATATCGGCTGTGTAGTATATGAATACTGCTGGACGTTTTATGGAAACAAAAATACAGTTAGGATGTACAACTGACCAACTTTCATGAAAAGATTAAAAATGAATAGGCAAACTTCACTAACAAGGGGTTCATCTAAATTTTCGATACTTAATAGTTGATGGCCTAACTCAAAGGTCTCTCCCTCTGGCGATGACGTCGGCGAAATATTTATGCAACCTTCATCTTCTTGACTTTTTGTATTGATTACGATCCTCGAATCGGGTGCAACACGGCTGAATGACCGTTTAGGTCGTAAACTATTTGTAGGACCGAAAGAACAGATCCAAGATGAAGAGTCATTAATTGAAACACTAAAAATTATTAAAAGAGAAGCGTTACCTCTTACGCGGAACACAAATACGTTTTGGTAACCAATCTTTCTTCGTGGACATTTTTGTTTAACATAAAATGGTTAGCTGAAAGAAAATAGGGATATTTGAGGACTTAAGTGCTGCATTCACCACCTTTAAAAATAACTGGTTTAAGAAACAAATACTTCTCAGTATTCAGCTTGTCGATTAGAACAATTAAAATCGCAATAAATGTATTTTTAGAAGCACCGAATCATAAATTTGAAAATGTTATACCTAATCTGTAGTGAGTATAAATGGTGGTGCCGACTGGATGTCATGAAAGATGGCGACTCCGTCTCAGTGATTAGGTTTACTGAAACAATAGCTACAGTCTAGGAACTGAAAGTAATCTCATTCGACCGGTCTTGATGACTAATCGTTCCAGTTTATAACAAAAAACAAACATCCTGTGATAATCATAAAGGAATCCGTTTGATTAATATAGAGTCTAAGAAGTAAGCCTCAAAAATTGTGCTGCTTAAATGAGGTTCGCGATTAGTAAACCAAGGTTAGTTTCAGATATGTCTGTTTTTGGAATATATCTAAAATTATTGATTTCCAATAATAGAGGCAATATCCAACTCCGTGGACTAAGAGGTTCATTGGCAATTTGTCATCACAATGTATGCTAACGAAAACTTTGAGGAAATCCTGAAACGTTCCAAAACTTTAGGAAAACATGTCAAGTTCTTACTGGAAAGATGCTCTTTTTCGTACTACTCGTAATTGAAATCTCGTCGTTTCGCAGACCTCATTCCCTTAGAAAACTAGTCGTCTACCAGTCACCATAAAAAAATCTGCTTGTTGCAGATCCCGCTACATAATACTACTAACATACTTGAGTTAAAATGTCGTTTGACGATAAACAAATGAGTCAACGGTTCTTGAAAGGTAATATACGGATTCACAATTAAAGATTGTCTACGTTATCGAAGCAGTCCTGTTTGTAAACACTTACAACATCGGAAACTTATCTCGTTGTTTATGATTTCCAGAAAGAATCCATCACTCGAAGTATGCTAATGTTAGGCCTTATAACATAATAACACCAAACGCTGACCCTGGCTTGACCACACAAATTAGAGAGGTGAGAATAATCAAATCCCGACCCTACACAAACCGTAGTCATTATTACCACCGAGCCGTTCGTTTCTATTATTGAGTTTATATTTAAATGTTTAGTAATCAGTCATGTACATTTACACTGAAGCGTTGAGTGCTGTGGAAATGGAGGCTGGGTGTATTCCATTTAATTTCTCAATGTTAGCAAGTAGACTGAGAATTTTTACTCGATATTAAAGTGTGCATTTAATACAAGCTTACAAATCAGTTTTTCCAAAACAGAAGTCCTCCCGTCACCAGATCAACTACGTCAAGAGGTGTTGTGAATAAGTTAGTTACATCAACAGTTATTTTTATCCCCGCCGGTATCACACTTGCAACGCAAACTTCTATAAAATGTGGAAAGCCATCAATGTTCTGTCTAATCAGATTAGTAGATTGACCTCCTACATTGCATGTTCACCTATCGTTATCAAAGACAATAATATATGCAGTAAGGATTTCTTTAGCTTGGAATTTATATTCCAGACACTTGACTAGGTATATCGGAAGCTGCACTACAAGAACGAAAGTCCAGTGACTAGTTCGTAGGTTTCAAATGTTGTTTGTTGTGATTGAGGTGATTTAACTGTATGTGATCATCAGAAATGATCTTCGTAAGTGTACAGTCAATTTTTGTTTACTTAATAACGGCTGAACTAACAATTACTTATACTCATTATGGAGCTAAAAGGAAATTGGGTATAAGTTATTATAGATTTTACAGAACAATCAACCAAGTCACAGTTAGACCTAACATTATTGGTTATACGTTTGTGTTAATGGTTTCAAAGTGCTTTTTGCTGTAAAAAGACATCAGACAAATGATGAATGTTGTGAATCAGGCTTTCCTGAACAACGCTACATAAAGTACATAAGCGCCCAAAGACAATCCAATGAAAATGTGGGAATAGTACAATAAAGTTTGTTTACCGCATATATTTATATGTGGTCATATATTTAGTTCAAAGGTTTGTGTTGAAATTACTAATCACTGTACATTTTCACTTTGAGGCTGGTTTCAAAAATACTGATATCACTGTAAGTTATTAGTTCCAAACAAACTGCTCCAAATGACTTTTCGTGCCTTATATACGTCTGATTAGTTTTCACTTTTCCATTTAAATGGCGTGTCTTTCTAAACGCATATAATCAGACCAGTACTTATGTAGAGTTTATATGATATCATAGGATGTTTTGATATTTTTTAAAGAACTGTATAGACGCAAGTTTGAATAAATGCAAGAAAATCATACACACCTACTCCCAAATGATACTTACATATAAGATGGAAAATTGTCAAATGTTGTACATATTTCCGTTATAATGTAGCGCACATGATCACTTACAATGTCGTCTAATCATGGCGATGCACAGATATAATAATAAATGTTGCAAGTGTTTAAAAACAGGACTGCTTCGATAACGTAGACAATCTTTAATTGTGAATCCGTATATTACCTTTCAAGAACCGTTGACTCATTTGTTTATCGTCAAACGACATTTTAACTCAAGTATGTTAGTAGTATTATGTAGCGGGATCTGCAACAAGCAGATTTTTTTATGGTGACTGGTAGACGACTAGTTTTCTAAGGGAATGAGGTCTGCGAAACGACGAGATTTCAATTACGAGTAGTACGAAAAAGAGCATCTTTCCAGTAAGAACTTGACATGTTTTCCTAGTTTAGAAACGTTTTGAGGTTTCCTCAAAATAAAAAACAATTCAAGGGTCTTCTCAATATATTCGCTTGCATTTCTTAAAAGTGCAAATCGTGTGTAGATATTTTGTCAAATTTTTTTCTAGAGTTTTTCAAGGTTTTTTAATTAGTCTTTCCTAAAATTTGTTCATGATTAAAATTTTCGGATTGCTGGATAAACCTTTCAGATCTGAAAGGTCCATCCTATCATAGGATGGACTGACATACAACGAAAGACTAAATAAAATTACATGAAATATTTCTTTTTTTACATGAGTCCTCAACATTTAAATGTCGAAGGCTTGTAAATTTTCCCAACACATTACGTTATAGATTGATAGTGACTACATATTATTTTCTAATCTACATGTAACTTTATATCTCAAGATAAAGATTAGTAAGCTGTCCAAAATCCGAACATGAAAGTAAACTTCACTTGAGCCTAAGTACCGCAAAATATCAAAACTACACTTAGAAAGTGGATGAATTTCGAATGGTTCAAAAGGTTCTGGATGGAACAGAAGAAGCTTCCGCCTAACGAGATTCGGTATCTAGGAGCAACGGACCACAAATGCCAACAAGTAAAAATCTAGGTATATTTACGATGAAAGAGAATGAAAGAATTAATAAATTATAATGTGGTAATGTCACTAGTCCTTAAGAATATGTCAAGTTTTCACTTACAGGACTCTCAGAAAGTCGCTTAGACCAGCTAAGTTGGCACGAATTCTAACGTTTGACTACTGTTAAGGAGAAGAATGTGTGTCATTAAAAGGTCACCTCTGAGACATCAGTATTCCATTGTGTAAAGGTTCAGTGATTGAGAGCGCTCTTCAAAAGACCTGAATTCGAGTCCCTAAACTGATTTCTTGTCTTTAATTTTCTGAAATAAAGGAAGTAACACTGAATTTCCATGCTCTAGGAGGAGTAGAATAATACAGTTGAAGATTATGTGGAAACTTCCTCATCGAATTAGCCAAAAATGCACTTCAACGTTACGAATGTAAAGTTTGCTTCAAACGCATTTTATCACAGTTAGTATAAGACTTCAGATCGCAGGGTATCAACATCTCTAGATCTTTCCAACTAGGGCTACCTCTAGAGGGGAGTTAACTACGTTGTATTGGTAGTCTGCAACGTGTCTCAGATAAACTGCTTTACACTTTGGAGAGTTTGAGGTAAGTCCGTTTATGTTTGCTGAACTCTGAAGTCGATTCGAATGCTCCTGAATTGTCAGGTTATCACCTTGAAAACAAACTTCTCTCCTGGTATTGCATCGTAAGCGAAAAGTCTTATACCTGACTATACTCATTGAAAGGTCATGTATGTGGATTAAAAAAAGAAGGAGTCCTACTACTGGACCGTGGGGACCCTACTAGTCCATCCTGTAGCCTGAGAAGTTTGAGTTTGAGGTAAGTCCGTTTATGTTTGCTGAACCCTGAAGTCGATTCAGATCCTCCTAAATTGTCAGCATAAAGATGCCACAGGTATTCGGAATTTGACAACGCTTTAACCAATAACACCTTCTTATACGAAGTGTTCGTTCCCACGAAGTCAAATCAAATACAGAAGCGAGGAGGTTCGAAGATATATTTGATAGGCTGTCAGTATATCGAAGATCGTCTGATTTATTCTGGCTAGCGATTGAATGATTTGTAGAGCACGGCGTTTCCACTCGTGATCTGGTGCGGATGCATAACCGAGCGCCTTCAGCTAGGTGAGTCCATTAAAGCTAATGCGGTCAGCATCCAATGTCGAAAACTTACAAAGCTAATTATTTTGGGGGTTTACTTACCGCTACAGATTACTCTGAAGATGGCACAGGTATTCAGTGTTTGACAACGCTTTTACCAGTAACACCTAATATAATTCGTACCCACCAAGAGAAATCAAAAGACAGAGTCGAGGAGATCGGAAGAGTGTATTTGGCAACAACCAATATATCGGAATTCTCTGATCTAATCTGGCTGGCGATTGCGGTAGATGTTGAGCACAGCGTTACAACGCGTGATCTGGTGCGGATGCATGACCGAGAGCCTTCAGCTAGATGAGTCCACTAAAACATATGGTCAGCATCCAATGTCGAAAACTTACAGAGCTATTTATTTCGGGGATTTATTTACCGCTACAACTCCTCTTAGTGAGGTAGTGATGACCCTAAGACGTGGCCAGCCAGAATTTCAAACCCAAGGAGTTTGTCGTCGGTAAACACTTTGCTGATAGCTTGCTAGATTTAGCAGCGTCCAGTCGTCTTTTCTTACTATAAGGCACCACGAACTACAATACAGTAAAAAGAGAAGAGGTACAGTGAAAATTTCGGTTCCTCGTAAACCTCATCGTTCTTTTCCAGCCGTCCTGGAAAAGAAAAAAGAAAATGTAAGTGCCTGTCATACGCGCGTAAAAACACAAAGCGGGAGAAAAATTTATTATAAGCTCATGCATACATGCAATGCTCGTTCAAATGCTCTAGAAATCTAACTCTTCTTCTAGAACGCGTTGTTTTAGGTTTGTTTTCCTATAATGCCGAAGTATCATCATGTGTGTTAGCTGTTGGTTGAAGTATTATATGTCTGGGAGTCGTGTCGTGCGATTGCACCGAAGGAAAATCGAAGTGAATGTGGTTTCCTTTCAAATACACTGCTTTGGGGCGATCGATGCTGATGCTATCGTTGGTTCTGTTCTTACAGGCTATATAGTACTTAGGTTCGTGTCGAACAACTTTGAGGGGCCCTTCATATGCTGGTTAGAGAGGTCGTCGATATGAGTCTCGACGAGCGAAGACGTGTGTACTATGTCGTATGTCAGGTTGAACGAAAACAGTTGACTGCGGTCGAGTGGAAACAAGTTTAACTGAACTCGTTACGTTTGTAACCCTGTTAGTGTAGAAGGTTAGATCCATGTTCATTGGAGAAGATCAAGGATCCACGAATTCTCCTGGAAGTCGAAGTGTCGTTCCATAAACGACTTGAGCCGCAGTATATCCAATGTCAGCTTCCACTGCATTGCGAATACCTAGTAAGACGAGTGGAAGAGCGTCGGTCCACTGTGAAACGTTTGCAGCTGATAGTGAAGCTTTCAGTTGTCGGTGAAAGCGTTCTACCAACCCGTTTGCTTGTGGGTGGTAGGCAGTCGTTCAGAAGCGATTGGTTCCTAACGGTGTGGTCAGATGACGGAAAAGTTCAGATTCAAACAACCGTCCGCGATCTGTAGTGATGGTTGAAGGGCTACCGAAGTTTGCTACCCATCGTTCGACGTAGGTGCGGGCCACCGTTTCAGCAGTGATGTCCTTGATAGGTACTGCTTCTGGCCATCGAGTGAAACGGTCTAAGCAGGTTAAGAGGTAAGAGTATCCATCTTGCAAAAGTCCTATCAAATCCAGATGAACATGTTCGAAGCGAGCGTCGGGAGTTTTGAAAGAGCCTAAGGGACATTTGTTGTGTCTAATAGCTTTTTATTTTTCGCAGCTTATACAGTAGCGTGCCCAGTCCCCCACGTCTTTATTCATACCAGGCCAACAAAACTGTTCTACAGTGTTGAGGTGAATAAATTCCCCAAATAGGTAGTTCTTTAGGTCTTCCATATTCGATGCTGGCCTTATTAGTTTTACTGGACACATCTAGCTGAAAGCGCTCGGATACGCGTCCGCACCAGATCTCCAGTGAGTACGCCGGGCTACACATCCCTTGCAACGTTTAGCCAGCTTAGGCCAAACGCTTACGGTATGTCGATTGCCTCCCAAATATATCTTCCAAATCTTTCATTTCTGATTTGACTTGGCTGGTATCGTTTGAATACATAGACGTTGCAAGTAAAGGCGTTGTCGAACTCCGAATGCCCTTGATATCAGTATTAACAAGCTCGATGGGATGTGGCACACCAAACAGTAACCTGTGAATCTTTCCTCTTTTGCGACATTATAAATCACTTTTTAACCTTTAATTTTACATGTCGTGATATTGTTTTCATATTCTCGTTCACAGGTATACTTTATATTCGTCATCACGGTACAGACTTTTAATTTGCTTAAGATTAAATCTC